AGAGAGAGAGAGAGAGAGAGAGAGAGACTCTGATAGTAGTGCTGACAACGGGTGGATGGCGAGATCGTCCGAGTGGCCTCCGCAATCATTCCGATTCCAGTCTCGGTGGAGTTGAGTCGCATTCTCCGGTGCATCCTCGTTGCATTCCGAGGCGGTCGGCCCTCATTTTTCCTCCTGTAATTCTGCTCGGTCCGAGGGACTTCATCGACGATGAGATGTGACGGGGCCGGTCGGCTGCGCTGCGGGGTGGCACATCCGTGCGGCAAGGTGACCAGCACGTGACGTCACAGTGGAGCGTTCTCTCTTTCGGGTTCCCCCTCCCCCCCGATTCAAGGTCAAAAGTTTCAGGGACACTAGCCGCTGACTACGTTTATAACCGAATGATCGCCAGCCGATCTTCAGTACCGGGAGCCGCTCCATCGCCTCCGTCTCAGGAGATCACCAGCTTTCCTCACTCTGTGTTCTTCCCTTCTGTCCCTGTGTCATCTGTCTGTTACCTTTTACGCCTCACACCATGATTATCCCTACGACGAAGCTGGTGGTGAGTTCAATTTCTGATACAAGGAGTCTTCGAAAAAGTTTCGGGCCAGACGATATGAAAGAGTTTATGGATTGCGTCACTCTTGAAGTTAATTTTATACGAACATCGAGTGTGAGTGTCATCACTTCCTGACATTCCTCTTTGTTTTCCAGATTCCTTTCTTGAACTTAGTGATGTCAGTGAAAACGAATAAACTGGTTGGATGACAGAGACAATTGGGGTGGAGGGAAAATAAGGTTCAATAAGGACGAGAAAGTTTCAGTCAACAGTAACGGATCCCATTCGGTCCATATTTCCCATCTCGTTTACTTTCCCCCCACCTGTCTGTCATCTCTCTTGGCATCGCACGTAGGAAATAACCAGATTGTCGAAAGTAATATTTCACCTAGTGTGACATTTCCTGAGGCATGCACGATGCCTCAAGTGCTCCAATTTTTTCATAGCATGCGATCCTTTATTTCTACTAATTTATTTACCTTCACTGCCATCAAGCACTCGGATCAAAGAATGAATGTGGAAAACGGAAAGGAGTGTAAATATAGATATGACATTCTCATTCGGTGTTTTCACGAAATCAAGAAGTGACGCCACGGTCCTTCCCGAAACTCCCACATCAGCTCTGGCCTTGTCGATTTCTCCTCGTACAGCCCCGCAATAGCCAGCAGACCCGTTACGAACGTGTTCGTCCCCAGATATTTCGAGGCACCGTCATGTAAAAATATCTGGTGATCGTTACGTCACGCCTTGCCGGATCTGGGGGGGGGGGGAGGGGGGGGGGGAGAAAGGTCAATGCTAACTCTTTTAAATCCAATTCACTTGGCTGAAGATGGAGGAGAGAAAGTCCGATATCCCTTTGCACAGCTTGTTGATCGAGAAGCGGGAATTCCCCACGTGACTCATTGTGACGAAAGGGGCAGTTGATGAAGAAAATATTTTTCAGAGGGGGAGAGGAATGGCCTTGCTTCATCAAGCGATGGAATTTCCCCTCCTCCATTCCCTCCCTGCGATTTCATATTGTTCGCTCTGTCGTGTTGATCATTTATCTGAGCATTTGAACTTCGTTTGAGGGGGGGGGGGGGGTAAATATTACATTTACTTGATAAGAGTTGTATAAAATATTTCATGAGGTTTCATGAGATTGGGATTGTTCACTTGTTGGGAGCATTTTTACGGAATAGAACACCACTTAAAAATACTTCATCAATGCCGTCAAATTTCTTGCAAATGAATAAGTTGTTCGCAGAGTAATACTTGACTGGAAATCGGTATGTTCTACGGGAAAATTTGACATGTTAGCGAGCACTTAGGCTCAGGCAAAAGGTGCCATTCGCTATTCACCAAGGTTCAGGTGCAAAGGGAACTTATGATGTGCTCTGGTTTTATTATTATTATTGTTATTATAGAGTTACAGAGGACAAGCGAAAATAATATAGTTTAGGTAAGATCAGCACGTTCACGACGATAGAGCACATACTTGATCTGCAAAGGTGAAAGGGATATCAAACTCTCTCGCACATTTAAGAGAAACAAAAATATTTAAGTGCCGGAGAAGTACTGGTGACAGAAGAGGGATAAAGAGAAAAAATCTATCGAGGGTTAGCAAGCAGGACTCACATGCTGCAAGATACACGCACATTTTTTTTCCCATTCCGCAATGCCACTTGTGCAAAAATGCAAACCAGGAACAAACGGAGTTGTTGTAGTTCTCATAAGATAATGGGGGAACGCATAAAGATGAACTGGGAGCGCCATTTCAAGGCTGAGGACCTTCATTAGGGGACCGATGACCTTCCGAATATGTAGATGAGTTTGCCATGGGTGATATTTCGGGAGTATACTTGTTACAGAGTAATAATTGAACTGCCATGTGGAATATGGATAGAGGCTACAACTACAATGCCTTTGCCTTTAACCCAGTCGAGGTCACTCCTTACAGCCGACCAGATATCACGTGGCGCATGAAATAATTAGTGCTTACATGTGAGATAAGAAACCTTCATGATTGATTGATGGTTAATAAAAAAAACCGCCTCTCTTAGCTCACATTATATCCTCCTACGCGAGCTTCCGTCAAGGGCAAATTTGTTTTGGCCCTCATTTTCAGTGGCAAACCAATTGCACTTCCAAATAGCTTCACATTCTCTCCTCTCCTTGCCTCAGGAAACGAAGTCACAGGGAATTGTGGTGTCCATACCGGAATTTTCGAATGGCATTTTCGAGAACCAAAAAAAAGTATGATGATAAAACGACAGCATTGCGATTAAGGCACAAAAAAAAATTTCGCTCTCCCTATCATTCTTATTGCGAATGGAGATCCGCTGCTACTAATTTCGATCATTTCACTGATGAGGATTTTAAAATTGGAAAAAATTTTCAATTTTGAAATCCTCATTTGGAACCCTCTTCGATGGTCCACAACGGCATTACCATGGATGTGGTAATGAAGTTCCCTGGCAGAGATCATATTTGGCGAAGAATGGAATTAATACAGTAAACCAGTCTATCCGGTCGGTATGTTGCAGTTACGTCATCCTAAAACTCATATTCAGTCGGTTAAGTAAATGCGGGAAGCAAGAAGACTGATCGAATTGTTCCCTTGCTACCTCATGAGGCTGATTCAAGATGAGCGATTGAACTCGACCAAGACCTAGTTAAATTACTCAATGGAGTACTAGGAAGCGCCGCAGTCATTAGTAACACCGACGTGCTCTTCAGGCTTTTCTTATCAATCAACCGCGATTGGCAATTCCTGCAAGCTTGGTCGCGAGCTTTTTTTTTTTTAGTCTCGAGATTTCTTTGTTTTGATTTTTTCCTGGAAACACGACGATTTAAGGTTTCATGTAATAATGAAATAATCTGGTTTCTCCGTCAGGTCTTCTACCTGAGTGCCGTCCTCGCCTTCGCCTGCTTGGTGATGGTGGACGCAGCGCCCAACTCCTATCTGTTCGGATCCTTCCACATCCCAATCGACCCAGTGGCACCGTATCATAGAAGACAAGCCTTCCAAGAGAGAATCCCGCGCCTTTTGGATGCCCTCACTTACGGCTACTACAGGCCTTGAGGGGTGCCCTGACCCGTGGTCGAGGAGGATCTCAGTTGGAACATGCCAAAGACGGAAGCGTTGACAGCTCCCTCCCCAACCCCCTCTCGGGATGTATGGCAACATGATGACCTGAAAATTGGGTGGCTCCGCGTTTATCATTTGTCGCAACCCGAGGACTATCCGCGTTTGAGAGATTCCGTCCTCCCTTCGTACGCTTATGAACTGCCCTCTACGTCTCTACAGCTGCTGCTTTGTCTCAGGTGGCGAGCACGCACGGATGACTGAAGCAGCTCTGAGTATTTATTCTCTTCGCCGCCATAGCGCAATGTGAAAACCGCTTTCCATTATGCTTCTGACAAGCTCTTTGTGATACATGAACAGCCTCGTCGAAGTACAATAAAAAATGAAGAAACAGTTGTGCTGGCGCATGAACGAGGACTTCTGTCTCCTGGTCATTTCGCCTATACAAAAAAACAGTAAAATCCATTTTAAAAATCAGTTTATTCACAACACGAAATCAGCATAAGAAACAATACAGAAAACGAGGACTCGAGCACATGGTCTGGTGGTGATGGAACATGAGAACATGTAGATAGGGGGCCAGCGTTTGAATGCTGCTCGGAAAGTAGATATTCAGTACACCCAATGGACTTTTTATCCTCACAATTTCTTCATTTTACCTTGTCTAGAAGAAACGTACAGAAAAAGCCCTTCACATTTAAAACATTCAAAGAACGAAATTTCATAGTACTTGGAAAATAAAGCATGGTCAACTCCCAGCCAAATGTTATCTGCACTTAAGATATAGACAGCTTAAATTATGGGGCACTGAATGATCCCTTTTTCAGCTAAGACAACATGTTTTAGTCACCTCCTTTGCCAGAGCTTTCCCTTGAAACCCTTCACATTTTAAAACAAGCTTTCATCAGACGTCACAGCACCACCAGTAGTATCTTTGTCATAATCAGAGTTTTCAAGCCAGATGAACAAGAACATTGTAAAGTGAAGTTTCATATCCTACAGCTAGGAAAAACATGATGGAAGAGAATATGGAAATTATTTTCGGTGAAGGAGCCTTTCGTGCAAGACACAACATAGTGCTCAAGCCGTTCCTACCCAAAGTTAAGGACATGGTGCGACAAGCTCAACAAAGAAAAAGAAACATGATTTGAAAATAGTCCCCATTAGTTTTTGTAAATATTTTTTCCATTAGAAAGCTTGAATAAATCCTCATCACTTCCCCCCTTGAAAAGGTCAGGTTCATCAAACATTTTTCCAACTCCACTTCTCTCATTTGGCTCTTCCAAATCATCCCTGGAAACTTAGCGGCAAGTGAACATGTTCAATCACACTGGAAACTATGTTTGGGCTTGTTGACTAAGCCACACAATGCTTCAAAACATAAATTAAGGATCTTCCTTTCCATAAGACATATATGTACAGTTGCTATGGGGTTTCTTACAAGTGTGTAAAACGTGCACATTGAACATAGTGGAAAATATGCTCAAGTGGCTTATGCCCTAGATCACTTCAATTGCAAAAAAAAATATTTCTTAGTATATGGTTCACTGCATATAGAGTCACACAATGGAAAACACTGAAACCCACCAGATTTGGATTAAATTTGGCATATAGGATTTTTTTTTAGCAAAACATAACACTTTCTGATTTTACCCCAAAAGGCTGAAAAGTTAGCGAGGAGAAATCTAAGGATCATAGCATGACCTCAAAACTTTAAAGACTTACAAGTAAAAAACCATTTAACCTAGAACCTTCTTGTACCACTTATCTGCCAATCTTGAAAGGGTTTTAGAAATTTAATTAAAAGGGAGTTTTGTGCATGTCTTGATATATTAATGCCTTATTATCTTTGAACTAGAATTTGGTCATGTTGCACTTCACATAGTTCATACAAAATATCCAACAAATAGTGGATTAATTAATTTAAATTGATAGAAGTATCAGAGATGTCTCTTTTCCTGTTATAAAACTGATAGGATTAGGTACTTGGGATGTTCAACACTAAATATGTCACTAATTACTGTCTCTTTTCAGCTTGTATGAAGTTAAGTGCTCTGGTACTCTGAACAAGTACTTTCTACAGAAATTGAATCTAAAATATAAGGTGTTTGTAAGTATAGCATTCAATGGATTTTTTCCCCCTGGCTTCAGCAGTTGAGATTAAAACAATATGAATTGCAGTTTCGCTTGTGTCAATTAACCAGTTTATGTTTGCTAGGAGAAAGGAATACAATAACAGCAGATCAGAAAGATTCTTGAATTGAGAAACATCCTCCTCATGAGGATATTCAAGTCATCTGCATCCTAAGCCATCACCAACTGTGCTGTTCTGTAAATGAATAAGTTCTTCCTGTGCAAGACAAAGTGACTACAGCACATAGTAGCCATTGGAGATAAACTAAACCCTGATCGTCTCATGGAGGCTTTTAAAAGACAAAGCTCTACAGCATTGTGATACTTTGCTCTGTCCCAAAACAAGGAATCTGAAATTGCAAGAAAGTGCAGAAGAACAGCGAGGAAAGTGAGAATGAAGAGATTCCAGATGTAGACTTTGGCTGCGAGAAAATCTTGCCTGGAGACACTTTTGTTGCATGAGTATATCATTAGAGGTAGGTAGAGTTTGTGTAGGGTAGATTCGTACTATGCCACTTCAAGCACCCAAAAAGTAAAACCCTCCAAACAATTATTTTTGGCCAGAAAAACTATGCACTTATTGGGTGGATTAGATTAGTATCCTCTGCACCATCAAGGCAAGTTCTCTCACACCATGAACTAGGAGATACTTGTTCTCAAAGAGCAATAATAAAAAATTTCAGCAAAAGAAGTGAATAGTGTCTACTTCAACTTTTTATTTCTAATGATGAGTGAAATAAAGGATTTGCTTCCATAAGACTACAGTAAAAAAGTAAAGAAATTTTCATTAATTGAAAATGTTCAACTTCAGCACATTGCCTGCAAAAACCTATTTGTCTTTATTTCTCATAATGCCAAGGTTGCTCTGTTGGCTCAGTAAAGAATGTACAACCTGTCAGCATCCCATATGGCAGTTAATGTGCTAAGCTATTATAACTCTGAAATCCTCAGGTTCCTGGAACTGAATCTACCTTAAACAAAGTATATCAATCAGTTTACCAGTAGTATCTAGAGTGCAACAGGACCAAATTTCAAAGGTAACAGTGAAAAGCCCTATACGTCTTAACCCTTTACAGCACACTATATAAAAGCCTAGGAGAAAAACATTCAAATATACTCATTTTCTTAAAGGCACCAAATGAAGATATTTTGTGTCTAATTGCCAAAATTAGGCCATTTTATTGTCATTTTGGACTTATGCAAAATGGGAGAAACTTGAAAAAATAAAGGAACTGCAATAGGTAGAGTTTGTATGAGGTAATACAAAGATACAAGATAAAGAAGTTGAAATATGCAAATAAATTTTTCTTAGACCTGATACAGTCATTTTGTAAAAATTAAGAAATTGCAAAGAAATAAGATTGAAGATCTTTACTGGAGAAGGGTACTGACCAAATATTTTCAAAATGTCTTCAGTTGGTAACAAACAGAAATTTAAAAAACACTTATATCTTTTCCAATTTGGAAAATTATAAATTCAGGAATTCTCCATTTGCCAAACAGTGAGACAGCAGCCATTTCATATAAATATTATTCTGGTATGTTCCTGATTGGAAACAAAATGCAGTGAAGAGCTAAATATGCACAAAATCCATATATAATATACCTTGAGATTTGCAGAATAACTGCACCATGCATGCAGGTCAAATAGTTTCCAAGAAAATAAGTCTTTTAAGGGATGAGGTCAGGTTGTGACCACAAAACTCGATCTCTTCTGAAGCATTGGTCCAATTTTGATCAAATTTGGAATATGGCAGTTTTGGGCAAGATATATCCTGTCTACCAAATTGCAAGCTAATCAGCATGGGTATTGGAGCATCTCATCTCATTCTTACATCTCTTCAAACTAACTCATGAAACTGAAAACTTTTGGCTACAACAAATGAGCAACATGTGGGACATGAATGGGATCTATGGTCTTTTCTAACCTGCATTGTCTCATGAATCGCCTCTTGGAAGTAAATTATAAACTTATACCACACATATGCTAATTGGTTTTATATTAATACAGAAAAAAATTAAGATCACTGCAGATCTGAAATACAAGAACAGCCTATTTTTCTTGCTTTGTAAAGTCTTGAAACTTCATTTCAAGCAATAGTTCATGGGATACTGTAGGTAAGAAGTTGACTGGCATACTGAACTTTTAGCTAAAGCCTTCACAATTCAATTGTGTCAAGGAAGATCATTCAAAACAAAAACTCTCAGTGCTGGGAAGGTGGTGGATGCCTTTGATATCCTTGGTAGTACTGTCCAGATGGAGGTGGAGGAGCAGTTCCACCTGGTGCAGATACTGGAGGTGGCTGAGGTGGGTATGCTGCATAATTCTGTTGACTCCATTGCTGTCCTGCCACTGGTCCACTGTATCCTTGAGGTGGCTGATAAGGAGTTCCATAACCTTGAGGGGGCTGATTTTGAGCATAGTGTTGCTGCTGTGGGTAAGCTGGCTGAGAGTGTGGTGGAGGATAATTGCCATACTGAGCTGCTCCTGCATTGGGAGGGTACTGCTGATACTGCGGCCCTTGTCCTGGTGGTGGGTGATAGCCAGGATAACCAGAAGAACCAGATGGAGGAGGAGTAGGATATTGACTCTGGGAATGTGGAGGGTAGGGAGCAGCTTGTGAGCTCTGAGGTGGAGGGATGTATTGGCCAGTCTGTGGGGGTGGAGGACCATATGGTGCATTTGGATTAGATGACGGGGGATACTGAGGCTGACTTGAGTACTGAGGGACAGGAGGAGCTGATGTGGAAGATGGTGGCTGTGAAACAGGGGGATATGGGACTGATTGTGAAACATTTGTTTGGGACTGTGGAGGGTAGGCCATTGGTTGTGAAGTTGGGACAGATTGCGATGGTGGTGGTCCACTTGGGGCAGGAGCAGGAGAGACTTGCTGAGGAAAAGCATTATTTTGGGAAGTTGGGACATAGGGAGGTTGAGGGGATGAATTTGGTTGGGACACAGGTGGATAAGGGGAGGGCTGAGATGAAGGTGGAGTGGGACATGGTTGGTATTGAGTATTTGGTGTGGGTACAGGAGGGGGTTGGGTGTTGCTCTGACTGGTTGGTGGAGTGGGAGTTGATGGAGCTTGAGAACGAGGGGGCATAGCTGGATTTTGAGACATCTGAGGAGTAGATGGAGGGGTGGGAGGAGGAACAGAAGCTGAGAGAGAAGTAGAAGTAGGGATAGGGGAAGGAGTTGCAGAGGGGGTTGAGGTACTAGGTGGGATAACTGTGCTAACACTTGTAGGAGGAGGTGATGAGGTTGCAGGCATGGAGACAGGTGTTGAACTGGGTGGAGGGACCTGCGGGGTTGGGGGAGCTTGAGTTGTTGCGATTGCAGGGCTGGGATTCTCTGATGCAACTGCTCCTGAACCAGTGGCCAACATTGGTGGTGAAGCAGACATAGGAGGTGGACCACGAGGTGTTCCTTGAAACTGATGAGGAGATTGATGCATTTGTGGCTGGCTGCTAGGAGGATAGGGTGAATAATTTGGGCCACTGGGGGGTGGATGATGAGGTTCTGATCCAGTAACTGAAGCTGGACCAGGACTTGAACTCTGGTACCCACTCTGAGTCACGGGAGGTGTTGGTGAATTGTACCCATAAGGATGGCCATAATTGGGTACACAGCCAGGAGCCTGGCCACCTGGATTTCCAGCATAACCCTAGAGCAGGGAAGTGAGAAAAATTGCTGATGACCAGTTTAATCAGACTCTTAACAAATCATCAAGATCCAACCTCCATAACATACCAATAATACAAAACTCTCAAGAAGTGATGGAAAGAAAACATTTACTGCATATGACAGTTTCCGAGAAGAGGGAATGCAAAGTGAATATGAAAAGTTATGATATTATCCATGGAAGTTGCTGCTCATGATTTTCTGACAAAACATACACATTTGCAGGAGCAGGCTCCTTCTTCCAGGTTCCCCCCTCATGGCAATACATAAACTTGTTCATTATTCATGCAGTTATTAGAGGGCAGCAAAGGTTTAAATGTCATATGGTTAAGCATGTCTGTACATTGGCTGGTGACAGTGAGAGTCGAGGCAGCAAGACACCTCTCTGTAGGAGACTGGAGGTAAAAAAAATTCAATTTCTTGAAGATGTACTAAGATGTGAAACAGATAGATAAGATTTCCTGTTTTTCACTTGACTGTTATTAGCACACATCTTCTTTCTAGCTCCTCTTCACTCTTTCTCACTGATTTATTGATATTGAGATGGAGGTGAAAGGGGTTATGATTTTAGAATGAAGACTGACTGGGGGACAGCAGGTCTTTGTGGCAAGATAGAATTATGATTGGTGGAGGAAGAGAAGGAAAAAAAAAAGGGGTGTTGCCTACTAAGACCATTCCTTTCCCTCCTTCCTTGGTTACTTCCCCAACTGCTGGTATGCGTTAAATTACAAAAAATAATATCAATTTTTAAAACTGTTGCTACAGATTGTTCAGAAATTCATAGCATTCTATAACACTTCTACATTGATAGTTTCAAGTTGCCTCAATAGATATTGTTCAGGGTAAAGTCAAGGTCTTGGCTGTCTAATTTGGAAAAGTTGGAAGAAAAGGTTGAAAATCACTCCCATAAGGTGTGGCCAAAGGATCAGATGTAGGTAGGGAAAGCCAGCATTCATTGTTGATGAAGGGAAGCAAGTATGCTAACTGAAAAAGCCTTGCTTTCTTATATGCCTTAAATAAGGTCCACACATACCATTTTATCGCATTCTAAGCAGGCAATACTAAATATGCATAGTGATCTGTGGAGGATATTACATAATGACCTTACCTGTTGATATGGAGCAGATGTACTAGTAGGATACTGTCCAGATTGGGGTGGTTGCGGTGGTGGAGCAGGTTGACCTTGTTGTTGCTGACCATAGGCACCAGAAGGAGGTGTAGGACCAGGAGGCCGATACATTTGGGATGACATCCCTAAAAAAGGTGGCAGTGGGGATTTAGAGCATGGGCATCAGAAAAGGACACATTGAAATTCACTTCAATTAGTCAAGTAGGTTCCCTTTTGACTATTGGGCATCGAATACCCATGAACACTTCTGAAGCCATGTGTATGTGTGTGCTCGCTAGAAGGTGCACTCCAATAATTTTAAAAATTTGCTGGGTTCATGAAACAAGTTTTTTATCTACTATTTTAACTTCATCATATATTTTTATTGTAATTCATTGCACTAATAAATAGAACTACTTCCATTCAAACATGAAGTTTTCTAAAGTTTTGTTTTATTTACCACATTATCCCAAGATCTCCAATTTTTAATAAACTGAGCCCCTGACATTAGCTTGAGGGGTCTTAAATTTGCAACAACAAAAAAAAGAATTTAAGTGTGAGACTCATATCTGCTGATATTTTATTTTATGGGCAAAGCCCAGCAGCCAGTGCTATAAGTGACCTAAAAATTGACAGACAGAGAAGGACAATTCACATGTTTCCAATGAGCAACAGAAATAACTCTTTCTCAATTAAGGCATCTGTTAACAATAGTAACATCTCAACTCTCAATTGGTGTAAGAAACATTTAGCTATACTTACAGAGTACCAATCTTGGAAAATAAAAAATTTCCACATTTAGCAACTGACAACTTCAAATGATAAGGTGATTTTGGAACAGAATAGCTGTAACATGTTGAAAAAAAGTCTTTGGACTTTCCAGAATTCACATGCCAAAAATGTTGTCCATTTACATTACTTGTGAATTTTTAATGCGAGATTCCTTCTTGGAACTGTGGCCAGGCCAGTATTACCCAGGGACAGTATTTATTAAATATTCATAAGAGTACAGGAAAACCATAAATTCAATAGAATCAATCCTATAGTTTGAAGTATTGGGTACATGAAAGTCATTGATGTTCCCTGTTTGAGAGGGAATTGTATGCTTTCAAATATGGGTAATTTGAAATACAGCTAATTTAAAATTCATAAGAATTTTCTGGTCCTGTGAGCAATAAGAAACATTTAATTACTTTGAAGAGCACTAGATGCTACCTAATCAACAGAAAATTTACTGTCCCAAACCTTGCATTCCACTTCGTTGCAGTACCAGCTACGTCCCTAATTAGAAACTTCCATTTGTCATTCATAAGAATTCTGAACAAAGACTAATATCCCCTTTAACTAACCTCCTCCTCTCAGCATGTCTGTCAAACACTAGTCACGCTGACACTAATGAAAAACTTTGCATAGTTGCTGCACAGTCTGCTATTTACTGTAAGTTGTGCGAATGCAAAGTAGGGATGAATGTGCCATGGCAAAAAAAGAGAGGACAATGAAATTGGATCATTTGAACCTGTTTATTTCAAAGCCAGCATTTTTTGGTTCCCTGAATTTCAAATTAAATAGGTTTTCCTGTTTTCAATAACTGACCAAAGGGTAGCTACAAACTAATTTCATCAAAATCTGAGGCATCAACATTCTTTGGGCGCTCAATTTAACCCCACATTATCAAGCACAGACTCTTACTAACTTTCCAAGTTGAGGATCACAGAAAACCTGGTTCCTCAAAAGTTTACTTCAATGCATAGGACTCTATATAAGGTCTGCTAATCTCAAAAGCTAAACCAAGTACTGAGATTGGTCATATAGTAAGTATGGAAATGACAGGTACTTCCTGTCCTTAACCTCTAGGTGCTTCAGATGCTTAGCATACACTTACGTGGGCCACCTGTTGAGCCTTGCATTTGCACAGAGCCTGGCTGTGGGGGACCTGGTGGACGATATGAAACATGCTGGAAACCACTTGTATCATTTGCTTGTGTCTGACCACTACCAGCTGGCATTTGAGGAGGCTGAAATATGTTTAGAGGATTCCAGTCAGACTTAGCATATTCTCATGTCCCATAAAAGGGGCATAGAATTATGGAAACATGTAATTTAATTTGAACTTACAGGGAGGAGGGCCTGTATATTTTGATTATGGTCAGCAAGAGCAGCAAGGTACACCAGGTTTCGATGCAGAGCATTCTGGTATCTATTGTAAACAGAGACATTACAAAACTCAGGTAACAATCATATGCGGGTGACTTTACAGCCTACAAAAAGCATCGCTTCTTGAAAACAACAGCCATGTCAACTTATTAAATATTTGCTTCAAATGGGAGGGAATACAATCTCATTGAATGAAGGAGAGACACTTCTTTTTGGAGAGGGAGTCATTTGACAGACAGCAATGTGATCATTCATAAGATAGTTAACCCTTTAAATGCTGAGTTTTTTTGAGGTGGTAATCCCTATGAGAGTATTTTTCAAACTTTTGTCTGTTTTAGGAGAGATGGTTCTAATTTGAATTATGCACATTCTCCTTAGTAGTGAAGGTAATGAATTGATGTCAGATTAAATGCCTGATTGACTGGATTTGCTAACACTGCACTACGGACTAAGAATGGTACATACTTGAAGTGGTGGATGTATATATCTGTCAATAGCACTGAAAGGGTTAAAACTCTCAAGGCAAGATGAGAAACAATGAGAGACACTGTGCTATCTTATATTGCCCAATATAAAAAGCAATAGTGGACTAAAGTTCAATAGTGAAAGCAAAAAGACTTCTATTGTGCATGCTTTACAGTGATCTAACTCGAATCCATAAGAAGCTGACCATCACATCCTGTTCCGATGTGTCAGGATGTTACGTCAAGAAAAATTTTTTTTTTAAAAAGGCAGATGGAAATCATGCAGGACAGAGTACTACTTATATCATTTCTTCCAATCCACCAGCAACATTTTCCACATCTTGCACAGTAGCCCATCCCACAATGGACCACAATCATACAAGTGGATACCCATTGAGGGCATGCATGAAGATGGTGATGAACAACCATCCCACCAATTCATTATGCTGCTGAGTGGATGAGAGTTACTTTTCAAACTAAGTAGCTAATTACCAGTACAAGCTATTACCAAGAGAGAAAAATAATTAAGCAATTGAAAAAAACATGCACAGTCAACTCTTGATATACTGCCACTGTTGGTCTTGGCCAATTTTTGTGCTAAATCGAAGCACATGGCTTTAAAATGGAGAATTTTTTCCTAATTTATATCAAATATGCACCAAAATTTCACTTAAATTAATCCATGCTACCAATGGTCCCTGCCTCTGAATACGCAAACTACACAGCTTTGAAAAATGCCATCCATTCATCCATTATTAAATCGAATTATTTTAAATTTCTAATTAGTATAAATCCTATGCACTGTCTACTTACATTATTGTCCCAAAATATTGAAAAATTATTCAAAAAGTTTTCCTGACTTTCAACCACAATTGCTTCTAATGGCACACTTGCAATTTTTCATTCACACTTAAAGCTATCCTTTTCCCCATCACTAGATAGTGAACTAACTTGGAACTGTTGTCTGGAGAAGCTGCATAAAACCTTAATGAGACATTCCACTCTCCAAAAGAAGAGACAGGATTAGGCAACCCTATAAGCCCCTCTCTAATCTCTGAAGGCCTATTCTAACGCTATGTCATCCCTTACAATCTTGATATCTATCATGCAACCAAGAGGAGCAACTGGCAGCATTACATTTTGTATATGGTATAATAATTGTGGCTGGTGAAGTATGCTGCTTGGCATAATATTGAGTAAGACTTAAGTAGAATAAGACACGTTTGTGCATGTAAAGGTGTTGGCAGATGGTGGCTAGCAAAGGTGGCACTATTACAATAGAGCATCTATGGCAAGCCTATGGGGAAGATTCGTTCTCAGGAAAGAGGTGGCAGTAAGCTAGAGTGGTGGTATATCAAGTAGCAGTATATTAGACTGTAATTTCTTTTATAAGCGTACCTATTGCTCCATCAGCAAGGCCTTGATGTGATAATCACTGAAGGCACAACATGCAAAATAGATCCCATAGATGCTATCATGCTGTATGCAGAAGCTGTATAATTTTTTCCAGCATGCAGTCCAACAGCTACATATGCTAGTTAAGATTTTGCAGTACAACATGTAGATACAACATCCAAGATCCTGTACAGCACAAATTTCAATTCCATTTAGTACTGAGATAGCTACTCCTACCTCTAACAGGGGTAGCCAATATGGAAGAGGGAGGCATTAATTGCAAAAATAAGTAATACACATGAAATCAGATATATTTATACGCTTTACTTCTGACCAGATTGTTGCATTCAAGTAGATGCAAATAGATTGGGAGCCAGGAGATGATATAAGTGTAAGCAGAGATATTTCAGTACATCAGCAAAAGAAAAAAAAGGTTTCAAGCTCTTGGTCTATAGGGTCTATATTGATGAATATAGACCTGAAGAGGAAAGATGTAAAATATTTTTAAATATGCATTAAAAAAGGAGGGATTCAAGAATCAAAGAAGAGGTCAAATGACAGGGTTTGTCTTAAATAAAGAGACAGGGCCAACGTTGAACTTGGAACCATATTCCAATGTGAGACTTCTATCCTCAGTGACAAGAGTAAGGATCTCTCTCTGACTTTACAAACACAAACATATTGGATAGTTCACATAGTATAGGAAAGTTGAGGTGAAATGAAAAAGTGAGTTTGAAATTCAAACTAATGCTGTAGAGCATCAGAAAAGGGGTTAGAGAGGTGCCCCAGCTTTTCTAATTTACAAAAGTCAGGAAAGCAGTACAAGGAATGCTGTATCATGAAAGGTTCAGATGAAATTTTTACAATTTTGGAAATGACCAAGAAAAGGATTGTGATCTACTTTATGCCTTTACATGGGAAGAAAATTAAAAATATTCACAATAAACCAGTAGATACTTGCAAACAGTGTCAATATGTTCTTGAAAACTTTAAAGACAATATTCTTAAGTGGGGGAATATTTTCCAGTGAAACTGTTAGGGGTCCAATGATTTCCCAGTGTAGCAAGCATATCCAAAAAGAAATAATTTTGTGCTGCTTTCCAGAAGTGGATCTAAAAGATGCAATTTTGGTGGTGATAAGTAAAATTACTTCAAAATGTGGTCAAATGCTGAGCATGTGGCAGTCAGTTTTCCAGAAAAACTTTTAATCAGAACTATTTGAATGCACCTTGTAAATAAAAATTTACATGTTATAAGCCTGAAGTCTAAGCTTGATTATTGAGATGCCATACCTTTAGATTTCTACAAATTTTAGACAGAATGAATTGTTATAACTTTATTACCTACCTCTTTGTCTCATTATTTTTACCTCAGAAAATTTTAAGCCAAGGCTGAGACACAGTTCTCAAATGATAGTTGGATGAATCAGCATGTGTCTACTCACTGGAAGCTCTCCTGGATTTTGTCCCTGGAATGTAGGTCATTGATGGTCATGATCAGCTGACTGTTTTCATCCAGCATCTGCCAAATTGAAAATGAAAGAAGCCAGGTTAGATTACATGGTATTACTCAATTGGGTAGAATGAGATAAGAAGAAAGAAAAACATACTTGAGTATTTTCTTCAACCAAAAAGAGCATTTGATAACTTATGATTCTATTTTTAAAATTTGGTAGAAATGGCAGGTATAAAATGGTTTATGGACCTTTTGAATTTGAATTCAATCTCACTCATCTCTACCCAACATAAATTTTCATGCAGCAATGTCATATTCATGAAGTATGGTGCTAGGTGGTGTTGTAATTGACCCAATGCAACAGGCTGTGAAGCCCAATTGAGTACCCTTCCTCTACCACATCATTAAGCTTTCTTTCCTTAAGGTACTGACATGATAACACTCAAATTATTCTGGGGAAATAAAGATCACGCTTTCATTCATCCAGGGCCATTGGAGTTAACACTGCATTTTTTCATTTACTTTCTCATAGAAAAAAATAAGGGTGGTTTTATGGGTTTTCTAAGTCAAATGGGGACAAAAGAAAGTCTAATGTGTCACTGTGGTGTATGTCTGATTTTAGGGAAAAGCACGTTCAACATAGGAAAGTCAAATGCAATAGATACACAAGGTATACCATACGCATGTTATAAGGAATGCCTTCTCATTGCATTTTCACAACATGCAGCTTCAGATGCATTTACATATGTTGCTCCTTTTGCAATTAATCTTATTTTACAATTACTGATATGTCAGAGTTAGACATAGGAATAAGCTATTCCCAACTATTTTGGGTGGGAGGCCAGACTTCACATATGAAAAGACTGAGAGGAAGATTTAAGGCTCTTCTTAACCTGCATGGTATCATAGGGTCAAATTGACCCCAGCAATAAAAAATCTCAATAAAATTAAGTTTTTTTGAGATTAAACGTAATTGATTGTGGCATTTTCATGGCTAACTTCACTGCAACAAAGCAGTATAGTGGTAGCACATTCCTAGGATTAACCCTGATGTATCAATAATTGCTGAGTAATATTACAATAGGAGCACCATATGCAAATGCACCTGAATCTGAAAATTGTGAAAATGCAATGAGGCATTCACCTAACATGGATATGGTATACCTTATGTACCTGTTGCATATGACTTTCCTCATGTCAAACATGCTTTTTTAAAAATAAAATCTGATGTCTATCCCAATGACACATTTGACCTTCCTCATGTCATTTTTAACACTCTTAAGCAGCACAGAGACACATTTGACTTTCCTTGTCATATTCGTCTTAGAAAACTTATATAGCTTACTTATTTAGAAGTTAATTTTTCAATGCATTCAAATTCCAGGAGGATCCATCTACATTTAGCTACAACTTCAAATTCCATCTCACCTTTTGTATGATGGCTGGGCTGGGAGGAGGACGAGACCTCTGTGCAGGAAATACACTACTCATATTTCTCTCTTTGTAATGGTTCACTGATTTTGAGGCAAACAAAGCACAATTAACAATATGCTTTTTCAAGGCCCATTACCAGTTTTCCCCAAGTACAAAGGAAGACACAACCTGTGAAGCAGACATGGCCAAATAATATTTATCACTTGTGAAACCTTTCATAGTTTAATCTTTGATGGTCATTGTAAGTTAGACCAAGGGGGGGCAACCATGGGGCACTACAGCATAGACCAAATGCAACAAACAGAAAATGCCTCTTTGGGTATCCACTATGGAAACCCTTGACCTAAGGTTATGCCCTATTTCATCATAGTTGCATGTACATTGATTTATATGGCAATGAAACAAGTGCTCCATCTGTAGTGGAGTTTTAAAAAAAGCAAGATAAGTAGTTGGTCTGCGGCAATTGAAAAAAAAATCCAGTAATGAGAAAAAACAACTTGATAGGATGTCCACAGCTTTAATACCCTGAACATCAGAATGAAGCCATCACAACACAAATTCATTTGGCATGGCCCTTGTTCACACTCAAAGTATAGTCATCACCCTTTCAGAGGCCTACTTGAAAAAAATTGAGTCTTCATTTCATTTGTTACCTTATTGGTCATGATTAGTGTGTTGATAAGCCGAGTTGATACCTAATATCAACTCAGCTTTCATTTTGGACAAATCTTTTTATTTACTACAATTGAGGAGTTCCAGAGGAAAAGGGGTGTAGGTTCCCATACACCCTTTTCCCATATTTGTGTCCATGCACTGCTTAAGGTGACTTGTCAAAGGATAGGGTGATCAGCAGATTGCTAAGATACGTATTCAGAAATGGGGAAGCAGATTTTCCTATGCTTTTGCTATATGGCAGGCCAACTGCTTGACAATTTAAATATGGCTACCTCCATAAATATTTTATTAGCACCCAAATCACTGAACAATTGTAGTGGAATAATTCCATTCTTTCGAACTGAAAGTGAGAATGTGGAAGAAACCAGAGGAAAGTGGTGAAAGAGTGGTTGGAAAAAGTTCCAGCAGGGTGGATATGGAAAAAGGGCATATGTGCCTAAACACTTTTGGCCTGCATCCCAGCAATGTGAGATGAAGAAATTTGTTAAAACATAAAATTCAGTTTGAAAAAGATCTAAGATACCATTTGACTGAAAAATGAATTTTGATCAGCACCAGATTAGCTATGGGAAGTTTTTGCAGTTTATCTTGAATTGTATTGGGTTGGAAAGAAAGTCTTGCAACACTTTCTGACGAAGCCAACGGAACGCCCTCAATGCAAAGCCGAACGCCACCACCATGAATCGGCGACTACACTTGGAGTCACCCATATGGCCATCAGCAACTATCTGAACGACCTCAGCTATCGGAAGGTTTACTCGACATGGGTCCCTCATCAGCTCAGCGACTGAGCCGTGTCAGTGTCTGCAGATCACTGCTCCTTTGTCCGCACAGAAAGGGCCTTTTGAAGGAAATCGTTATTGGAGATGAGAGCTGGGTCCTCTACGTCAACCATACTCGCAAGAGTCAGTGGCTTCCACGAGGAGAATTACCGCCACACAAACCGAAACCAGGGTTCCATGAGAAGAAGGTTCTTCTCTGCTGTTGGTAGGATTCAGAAGGAATGTTGTATTATGAGCTCCTGCCAACTGGTACCACCGTGACTGCTGTCGTCTATGCTGCTCAACTTCAGAAGTTGGCTGGCGTCATGCGTTGGGAACATGTCATAGACAACAATGGTCATTACATTGTAGACTGAAATTACATTTCAATAAAGTTATAAAATTTTGAAAAATTTGTGCAGAGTATTGCAAGACTTTCTTTCCAACCCAATATCTTTTATACATATGCCCTTTTTTCAGAGAACTCCTCTATTACAATCAAGTAGCCCTTAATACACTGTGCATAAACTGAAATGGATATTTTATAAATGGTGTTTCACAAAAAAGTTAACCATTTTGAACTACCATAACTTCTTTATTATAAGGAGCATTCACCTCAGACAAAAATAAAATCGCAGAGAAACTAACACATTTTCATTTTAGAGGTAAACAAGTTCAAAATGAGTGCCTCTAGCCGTAGAACAGCCTCGAAGATGTCAACAAAAGTTTTGTACAGCTGCCTACAGTACTTCCTGTGGAATGCTTCAAACTGCCTGTTGACTTGTCCTAATTATGCAATATCTAGCTTGTCCTAAGGGCTTCATTCTCGCTGTATCCCCACAGGTAAAAGTCAAGTGCACTGAGGTCTAGGGATTGTGCTGGCCACTCAACATCATCTTGCTGAGAAATAAGCTATGGAGCAAATCTTTCTCAGCCGCTCAAGACAAATGTGGGCAGGTTGACCCATCTTGCTGGAAAAAAAAAATTTATGTTCATGATGCACTTTCTACCAGAAAAATGTTCTCTTAAATGATACTTGAATATGCACAAATTGAACTTTTTTCCCAGCAAGATGGGGCAATCTGCCATACTGTCTACATTTGCCTTGAGTGGCTGAGAGAGAAAGAGAGAGATTCACTTGGTGGCTCATTTCTCAGTGAGATGACATTGAGTGGCCAGCACAATCCCTAGACCTCAGTCCACTTGATTTTTACCAGTGGGGATACAGCAAGAATGAAGCCTTCAGGACTAGCCAGACATTGCAGAACTAAAGGGAACAAGTCAATAGGTAGTTTGAGGTGTTCCACAGGAAGTACTGAAGGCAGAAGTATGAAACTTCTCTTGACATATTCAAGGTTGTTCTGCAGCTGGAGGTACTCATTTTGAACTTGTTTTCCACTAGGGAAAATATTTTTTGTGAAACACCCTGTATAATGACTTTGAAAGTATTCATTTGGATGAAAAATGAAATTCTACATGCAAATTCAAGTAAATTTGCAAGAAACTTGCTTCCTTAGTTTTCATCACAACATGCAACACCACTAACACTTATATATTTATTTTTTTTAAGGCAAAAGGGAGAGTGGAGCCAAGTGCACTAGACAGGATGCATGTCTTTTTATCCAAAGGTGAAGACAGGAATAAAATGTCATCTACTATCTAGCAATTATCTATTATCAATGTAGCCGATAGTGGTAACTACTATCATTGCTTTATCCACACTGTATCATGGAGCACTTACACCCCCATCTTCTGGCCCTATGTATGCAAAGACTATTGTAAAAATAACTCTTTCAAGTGACAACTCATATGTGGTTTTTGAGTCTTGTCATAAAAAAAGATGAAAAGAAGACATTACTTGTACATGGGCTGGGGTCTGATAACATCTGAACCAAATGGCTTGCAAGGAATTAGTTAGAGAGATGACCATACACCAGTCACAAGAGTTTCGATATAGCATATCCCAAACCTATCTATTGGCCAGCAGGGTGAATCAGAGCTAGAAAATAAATTCTTGCCGTTAACCCATGTGGTCAGACTCAGCAGTCACGTTGTCTCAGGGTTCACATGGCGAAGACTGCGTTATGTATGTACAAGGTATTCACAAAACAAACAATAAACCTTGACTGAAGTTGATAGTTGCATCTTTTGCGAAGAGGAAAATTTTGCTAGAGGATGGCATAGGCAAGTCATTTTCAAAAAGGATGAATAAGAGACCGAAAATCTGAGAAACCACACTATTACTATTCGTTAAAATTTATTCTTAGGTCATAAGGATAATTATGAGGTACAACATTTTTGAGTGACACTTCTAAATGAGTGGCGCAGAGAACTGAAAAAGTGAAAAACTCAAAAATGTAGATCGTAGCACACTATACGGGTAGGCCTGGAAGATAAGCGCGCCAAGCCTGACTCAAGGCAGCCATCATGATAGATCCAAAGCAGCGGCTCTTGAACTCCAACACTGCACAGATGCCAAGTAAGACAGTGGCGGTGGTATTTTTTTTTTTTTCCATTTCTGTCGAGCCATGCTACTGTAATAACTCATCTATAAATGTTTAGAAGGCTTTTAAAAAATTTTTTTGTGTATTCTTCCCACATATTGAGGTAAAATAAAATGTCATCTGGGATCAGGAATTAGGCACCAAAGGCCAAAACCAAGGGATTGTACAAGCTACAAAATAGAATATGTAAACCATTTCTTTAATTTATTGTGTCGCATCCTCTTCCAGGTGGACCTGTGAAATCCGCTTCACCCTCTGTCAACATTAGTCATCCAACGAAGAGAGAGAAAGAAGTGGGCTTCGCATTCCGCTTCTTAATAGCAGAGCTCGCAGAGAACAACGTATTCAAAGTTTATGCAAAGTTTATCCGATTCAATATTGGCCTGCATTCAATACTCTCCAGCAGAGTCGCAGTGTCGGGGGGACCAGGGGGGAGGAGGAGGCGCGTGCCCCTCACTTTTTTCATCCGCGCTACGCTCATGCTCTCCTGCATCCTTAAAAATGCTCTTTTCACACGTATACATGATTCAGAGTGAAAAAAGAAAGGAAGCTGAAGACAAATCATTTCGAAATATTCCTGCTGAAAATCAATGTTTGCAAAACAGGCCCTATTGATACCCCTTTTACCCCTTGAACTGACAACAGCAAAATTATACGAACACTACATTGGGTTCTCGAAGTCCCCAATTATTAAGTGGTCTTAGGACATAGTAAAAATGAATTCATTTAATTAACTTTTCACGTGCATTCAATAGCACGTGTAGCATGTTTTGGTCCTTAACATAATGAAATTAGGTGAAACCTCGAGTTTTTCACTGCTGCCATCGATTAAAAATATCTAGTGGTTCCTTTGTGTGAATTCATCGGGACCCCAGTGCAGTGCTTGAGGCTTAAGCTTCTCTGATAGCCATGGTTCATCATGCCTAAATTCCATTTCCTGGCACATAAATTGATGGTTGACTTGCCACGGTGCAAAGTAAAGTTTCATGATACAGGAATGGAAAATGAGTAAAAAAAAATATATGCAGGGTGTCCCTATTGTTCCAAAGTCACTTCACACTTGGCATTTTACGTTTTACTCGCTTAAAAATTATTCATTACCCATAAAGGATAAGTTATAGATAATAAATGACGAATAAAATAATTTTCAAACGTATGGAACATGTAGCGCTAAGTGTAAAGTGATTTTTGGGACGCACTATATATGCGAAATAATAGTTGGTATCCGAATAGCAAGGAGCATATAGAAAGTGACCATGGGCAACATAGCTTCTTTTTTTTTTAGTTTGTGGAAATCATTCTAGGATATGATCAAATCATCAGTTATGGATCCCAAAACACTGCTAATTTTGCCCAGTTGTTCGGTGATGATTTTGAGACAAAAAATATTTTCCCGTGTTCTTCATAAAAGGATTAAATCTATTTGATCCTTTTCGCTTCTGCAGAAGATACCGTAAATTCGGCACATTGGCTTCGAAGAGGATGCGGCACCAATTTATCATCTTCATTTCCTCATTCAGCAAATCAACTGTCGAGTCGCTAGAAGAGGGAGAAGAGAAGATGGTCAAAGGGCTGCGAAGAGGAGGAGCATTTTAGTTACACATACATTCAGGGAATACGCATGGGGCGCAACAAGTGGTTGCACACAAAGCTGTGCCCAGCCAGCTTGGCTTGTTTTTCTAAGTTCTCATACACGTCAATTAAAAAAGCAGCCGAAATTGGTTACACGTGTCAGTCCCTATCCTCAAACCACACTATATAGGTGAAGATGAAGGGTGAGACGCCTGACAAGCTTCTTCTTTGGCCAGACGACTGGAGGCTGCATCGCAGACGCGGCGCGCCCTCGGCCTACGGTTCATCCTCCTCCTACTCATGCGCCGTGAAACCACGTGTGGGACGAGCTAGTGCACTCCCGAGGATGACCCCGGCTTTTGCAAGTATTGTGATTTGTGTGAACTTTCTTCCCATATAAGGAATGAAACCATTTATGCAACTATGATCATTCCTCCTACACTGTTTTCGGATTGAATTCGTATCCACTGATGGAAGCGCTTCCATCGATTCCACCTTTCACAGGAGTGGTATTTTGGCTCGTCTAATGAAGTCCTCGTCCTCTGGAAGTAGTGCTATCTCCGTTCTCCACTACCCGAAAAGGGAGGAGGGTAGCGAATTCAATCCGATAGCAGTGTACACGTTATCTTGTTGGGAAGTGATTCATGTTGGAGTTTAAACATCAGTGGTAAGTAAAAATATGGGAACAGCATATCCAACTCCTGGCAATTGAAAGCGTTCCTCCAACTTGGGAATTCTCATTTAGAGGACTCATGATATATATATATATATATATTTGGAATCTTGACTCTTATGCAATAGGCATAGCCGCCTAGGCCAAACCTAGTGTGGCATGACTGTACCCTTGTTCTGGATCATCATAACTTCAGCAACACAGCCAGCTTCCTCTACCATACCAGACTTGGATTTGCCTGAAGAGCACCTGGTGTATCAGCTGTCAAATTTTACAGCTCTGAAGAAAGTTGGCTGCAGAGAACCTTCCTGCCCATTTGAAGTGAGTTCATAGGCTATTGGTTTACTTTGAGCTTGGTAGGCTAAAGAATGTGGGGTTCAATGTCTCTTTCCTTTGGAAGGCTTGCATCTTCATCTGGCAGCACATGTGGGCCTAATGTAAATATTATTAGGGTAGCACTAACCTGTGCTAAAAATTTTTTAGGTAATTCATGCAAGCTTTCACCCCACCATAAATATGGTGTGCTACAAGGGTCAAAGCTAGGACTATTTACTATTTCTTCTCTATGTGAATGATTACCTGGAGCATCAAGTATGATGATTACTGCTAATAATACCTGCATGCCATATTTTCATCCTTCTTTACACAGTATGAATCTATGAGCAGAGCAGGACTTTAAAAAGGTGGCTTGCTGGTTCTTGTCCATATTTTTACTCTTAGTGTAGATATAACATCTTTTTGTATTGTTTCAGTCCAGATGACAAGCCTTTCAAGATGCATATACTTAGAAATTTTATGGGAAAGAGTGGCAAAGGATGAAAGTGATTAAATTTCTGGGTATTGACAGATACTTTATCTCTTGTGATATGATATCATAAAATTTTCACAAAATAGGCTGAAATAGTTTTCAGGTTTGGAATTTTGTGCATATTGTATTGGGCCATGCTACATGCATGATACAGTATATTGATACATCTCAGTTATAGGTTGACCTACTTGTCACAAAGAAATTGTTTTTTTTTTTTTTTTATTAGAATTGAACACTAAGACTAAAAAATTATTACCTGTTCATCATGACATAATCAGAAGGGCCCCTCAGCAGGATCATGCCATACATGCAGTTGTGAGTACAGGGAAGATTGCATCCTCATTGTTCATATTTAAATCACTATTTCATTTGCTGGAGCAGTCTTCATAGCAATCCATGAAAGGTAAGGAGAATTAACAGTCCATGACACCAACCAGGGTTGGAAAATACTTAGACAAATGAGAGTCTGCCAAGCTCTTCTCAGATTTAGAAAATAGATTTTATTATGTATTTTTGGTGAGTGCTCCATTATGATGAAGGAATGCACCTGACCGCCTTGATGTGTTGTGAAGGAATGGAACATGCCTGTCCAACCAATGATTGTTGTAAAGGTTCAGTATATTAGTCTCTTGAAGATAAGGCAGAGGGTATTAAGCCCTTTTGCTCTCCCCTTGTCCAATGCCCATTTGTGCTTGTGAACTGAAAACAGTTTTACATTCCATTTTATGCTATGGTAACCATGACAACGAATTATGTCTAATTACATCTATTATTACCATGAAAATGATCGAAATTAGAAGTTTATTTTATTATTGGATGAGTTTTATGACACGGACTTGGAATACAGTGGGCGCCAATGTGAGCCGCTTAATTTGGTGCAAGGGTGTTTGATATCATTATGCGATTTATAACAATGAGCGGCGATCAATGAAAACAGAAAATTCATTACTTTTATTGCCAAATTACTTTTGTTGGAGGAAGCAGTCGTCAAAAGTCGTCTGGGTGACGTTCGCGCTTGTTAGACCCCGATTTTGGAAGGTGTTCATTCTTTCCTCTTTGCTCACCCTTCCCAAGTCCATGACCTCGCCAAAGCAAGCGATAATCGAGCCTGGAGTAGAAATCTTAAGCTTTGCTCGTGATGAGAAGGTTCGGATTTCAGCAAAATCCTGACAGTGAAACTAAAGAAAAAGCAAACTGCAGTGTTTCCCATTGACGATCGTACCAGCTGCAAATCGCTATGCACTAGCGGCAAAATGCTTCGTAAGCCCTTCAAAATAATCCGTACACAATGCATAATGATACGTACTCCGCCATCTCAACCCAGTTAGGGTACCAAAGATTCTGCAACGCGTACGAATCAATTTGCGTGTTGTGAGAAACATTTTGTCGTTAATACTTAGCATTCTGCTAAGTTTACGTGTCTCACTGAGAAACCCTGTAAATACTATGCCCTTCCTTAAATATGCTAAATATATATTACCCCAGTGTATTTGGTATGGGTTATCTAAATGGTTTTGAAATCCTTCAAAGCTGTCAACATAAATTATGTGACAGGTTGTACAAACCGATGTCACCATTCAGCTTCACATTAGCATGGACTCAGGAAAGTACTGTTACTGTCCGACGATCCGTGTCGGAGGATTGGGGTTAATCACATTCAATTAGTCATATCGAAGGCCGAGATAATATTTATCGGTCCAGGAAAATTCAGGGTAGCTCATCGATGAAGGAGCAGGTTCTTCAACCTACTTTGAAGCAACCCGGCTCTGATCCACTGGGCGAAAAGAATACAAGAGATTATGCTAGTGCAAGGGATGCTTCTGAAGGAAGCAGGGAGTCCTGGTGTCGGGTACGCAAAATGTGGTCCGTGTAGCGCTTTGGGAGGGTATATTGTCATGACTTCCGCCCTCGCAAGAGACGTTAATGCTAATTAACAGCTACAGCACTGCCTTTACTGTAAGAACGTGAGACTGAAGGCGTTTGGCAGCATGGGACCTGTTTCTCGAAGCTTACAAGTGGCACCTGTTACTAGTATTAGTTTTGTAAATAACAGGTTTATGTTACTCAAATAATTAGGATCCCACTTGTAATTACAATTGTGTGCGCTTGTAATTATTAATAATGGGGGCGAAGCACACATTTTTGTTTCGCAAATGAGAAGTCTGACTGCTTATACTTGTGAAATACCTGAGAACGCCATTAATTTTTGGACGGAGGTTAAAGGGGCCGCAAGTGTTAGTACACCCATGTTTTCGAGCGATTCCGACAAATCTGGCTATAATGCGCCTGTGCGTGATGTAGTTCTCCGTCGTCGAGTGATTCCACCTTAAACTGGATTCGATTTGCAGAAAATGTATTCCTTCAACGAGCGATTTCGGTTAAGACCGACAGATGCGGAGTATATTCTTCAGAATTGAAGGCTGCGTCTCGAATGTCCTAATGCAAGAAGCCATTCACTAACACCAATGGAACAGATTCTCAAAGCTATTCAATGGAGGACAGTACCACGAGGTGCCAACGTGCACTGTCTCCGAAGCGTCTGTGTGTGAATGTGTTCACGATGAACGCCATCAACTCGAAACTCTTTCCTATCCACTTTGACCGGCCTACAACGGATGCTGCTGAGATTGCAACAAAGTTCTATAGGTTGGCTCAAGTGCGATTCGGGATGTACACAGTTTGTGGTTGCGTTGATGGCACCCTAATCAAGTTGGATGCTCGTAAAACCAATGAAGCTCAGGTTGTTGACCGCGCCGACAACCGATCAATCAACTGCATGGTGGTGTGTGGGCCAAAAGTTTTATTATGGTACTTTTTTTCTGAAAGCTCCTGAAAAACAAAAGTTTACTTCTCATGAATGAGGGAAAACAATGTGCTCCCTGTGGGTGCCATGTTCTCTTGTGGACTTGTGAACTTTGAAGCTGTAGTACTTAGGGCATGATTCTGATTAATCAATTAATCAGTTAATCATTTTTTCCAATTTAATCATTAATCAAAAATATTTTCAGAAAATGATGAAAATGATTCATTTTCCCATAATTTCAGCATAATTTTAACATAAATATTTTAATTACTGTTGTCACTGATGGTGCTTCTGTGATGAAGATGGGTCAATTGATGGGTGTGAGCCACCAGCTTTGCCACAGTTATGTAATTCATCTGGCTGTTGTTGATGTTGATGTCTATAAAAATTCTGGTAAAATTGATGAGGAAGAATAATTTGAGGGAGCTACCAATGAAACACAGAGTCAGAAAAAGATGTTGAAGAGGAGGAGACAGAGAATGAAGGCTGGTAGGAACAAGTCCCAGATAAAAACATTGAGTTTGCAGATGATTTTTAACTCATGATTAGAAAATTGTTAGCATTTTTCGGAAATCTCAAGTAAAAATGATTCCCAGAAACTATGCAAGGTTCAAGAGGGAAAATAATTATCTTTGCTTATAGACACCTCATACCAGATGAAACTCTATGCTCATGATGTTGAAGAGGTTCTTGGAATTGAAAAGCATTGTTGCAAATGCTCTGATTGATCTTTCTGCCATTGATATTTTTCCCTCTAAAGAAGAGATAAAGCTCATTTCATAAATTGTTGAAGCCTTAGAAGTTGTAGAAGTGGGTGCCTTGGCATTGGGCAGGAGAGACTGACTTGATCAAGGCTGAAAAAATCTTTGAGTTTTTGCTGAGGAAGTTGAATGAACAGGGTAGTATGATAGGGCTCAGGTTGTATATGGCTTTAGGCCAGAGGATTAAGGATAGAAGAAATGCAAATCTTGCTGGCTTCTTATGTTATCTGGAGGACCCAAGTACGTAAATGTCACTCTTGGAAGGTGACTTTCTGCTCCCACGTTCATCTAGGAATGAAAATTGCCAAGACAGCCAAAGACATTTACTCTTCCAAAACCATGGTAATGAGAATGAAGTCAAGGAAGAGAGTGAGAATCAAACTGTTGATGAAACAGAAGTTACAGAACCACCAAAGAAATTGAGCAAGGCAGAGAAACTGAATGCTTTGATATCAGAAAAGAAGATTGGAGGAAAATAAAAAAAGCACTGGGCTGATATTCTTCACCCTAAGAAATATTAGTGTCTAAAGACAGAAATGGCCATCCTGGAAAGTGCCAAGGAATGTCCAAATTCATTGCAGAAGGTATTCAATGCTGTGATGACTATACCTCCAACTTCTGTAGAGGCAGAGAGATGTTTCAGTGCAGCTGGCCACTTTGTTAAAAAAATTGCACACATCTTTGAATGATGAGACAAGCTGTGTTTTCTTTGGTCTTATTTCATGCAACAGAAGCAATAATGCTCTTCTGTACCCTTTTCAGGAGTAATTAATTTTTAATCATTTCAATCATTGATTAATTCAAAATCATTCATCACTATTTCTCAAAATTGATTAATTAACCATGGTCTAGTAGTACTGAAATAGCATTTCCCTTAAGATATTCAAGAAACAGAGCATAGATGTACTTGTAAATACAAGCTGTTACTTGTAGACTTGTGAACTTGTTAGCTTTGAGAAATAGACCCCGATCTCCTGAACTTTGAGAGTTTCTCCATTCACACTACATGCACTGCTCCAAATGATTCTATATGCTTTCAGGCAGCCATAGGGTAGCAGAACTGAAGAGCAAATGACAGGTCATGAAGTGCAAGCTGACACTTTGTTGCTCTGGTGTTATGCACCATATCCACCATTTGTTCGCTGTTTATATCATATATACATCTATCATCTTGTCCTGCATATCAGGAACGTAGCCAGGGGGGTGTCCTGGGTGTCTGGGCACCCCCCAAAATGAAGCAAGATATCATGAAACAAGGAGTATGGGAATGGGGGAGTTTGAAAAGTTTCACTTTATACAGCTGAAGTTTTGACTTATACTCCTATTCCACCTTCTGAATACAATCACTCTTAACCAATACAGTGCCTTACCATTTTGCTTCCATTGCTCTAACAGTTTTTTGAGTTCCAGTTGCAAACCATGATTCAGGAATAGCTTTCACCCACTAAATAATGACTAATTCAAGGTCAGTCCTTGACCCCTATCTCTTTTCATGCTAAAAATGCTAAATTTTGGGAAGAGAAGGAGCCATTTTGAACGATGAGGTGGGTGGGGTTGAAGTCTTTCAAAGTTTTTTTCTCATTCCTCCCAACCACTCACTTTCTTCAGTCACTTCTTCTTATGAGCCTGAAAGTGCCTCACAAGACACCCCCCAAAAGTAATTCCTGGCTATATCCCTACTGCATATAATATTATATTTTTGGTTAATTATTTGTCCCCATCATCATGAGAGGTATGATGTCATCTTTATGTGGTGGTCCATTTTTTCCAGATTTTTCGGGAAAAACCTTGCGCTTGCTGGGGTTATGAAGATGGATGTGAATCTTGCACAAACTATTCCATGTTCTCCTGTCCACATGACAGTGGAGGGTGGACAAAATCCAAAAAGGAGCAAATACAATTGTTTTTCGAACAAGGAGATTTCGGATACGTGAGGGAGAAGAGGAGCACTTTGAAAGAATTATGCTCTTCTACATCAAAGGTTAGTAGGTTTGCAGTGTTGTGAAATTGACTTTCATGAGGTAGTGTAACTGGATACTGATTAAATTGTCTCAATTACTTTTGTCCAGTGAGTAATCCCTTATACAGGGTGGGCCATAAATATTCGTACCACTAGTAACTTTTCTATTTCTGTATGCCAAAAAGCAGCAAAGGAAAAAGAAGTTCATACCTCTATGAGAGTGTCTCTATGATGAAATCAACCTTAGCTGTTTTAACATGAATCCTTCTTCGCTTAAAATGGCTTGATGTAAAAAAATTGTCTGGTTGACCAAACAATTTTGGAGATACAAGATGGAGTGATTTTTGCATACAAATAGTGCTTCAAACCTTGCTGCATCTTGCTGAGTTACACTGGAACTTGAGAAAAAAAATTCTGACTGGCAATGTTGTTTCTGCCAGTGATCCATTGAGTAAAACTCTTTTGAATGGATCAACAATCTAAAAAAGATTTGCTGAAATGTAACTACTAGTATTAGTTATTTAGATATTTCAAATTTGAATGCATCTGAAACAAAATGATCACCCTGTGTTTAGATTAGTAAAAATAAATTCATTATTAGACTTACTTTTAAAGGTAATCAGGTTTATAGTTATGCATTCCCAGTAGCTTGCTATCACATTTTCAGTACTGATACCATAATTATTTATAAAGTTAAAAGAAAAAGATTTTTGTATGTACTGACCTGGATGTATCCATACCATCTAGAGGCCTGTGATAATGCATGAAGCTCATGTGAATGATTTCTGTTCCAGGAGGGAGCTTCATTGGAGTGCTCTGAGTACATGACTTTCTGCAGGGGCAAGAAGATCTGGCTGGATGTGAGGCATTTAGTTAATCGAACTGACAATCTCAGGTACAAGATGGATGTTCTCAATCCTGGAAACATAGGAGGATACTGCAGGTGAGCAATAGTCCGATTGCCTATGCCACAGTGGTTTATGTGTATATCCACTGTTGTTTTGTGTTCATTCGCACATAAAATTTAATGGAACAGAAAGCATGCTTTACTTTTTTCAAGGTGGCTTTTGAAGAGTTCATTGTAGTTACAGTATCAACAACTAGTTATTTTTAAATTTCATGTGGGTCAGTTCTTTTGCTGAGGCAATCATTTTCTGAATCTCAAGAAGCATGAGTCAATTGTCACTCTTTGTCATGGTTCTGATATAAATTTGCAAAAAAGCCATGTTCCAGTATGGAAAAGTTAATCAAACTGGACTGGCACTTTTGTCATGGCCTAAATGGTCACAGACAGTTAATCACGGACAAAACGTCGCTTGCACTATTTCGTTGCAGACACCAATCGTTGCACTCTCCTCGTCACAAGGGCATAACAAGGGCTAGAAGCAGTTCTTGTACATGTGGTGTGGGTTCCTGAGAATTTCAAGTGGCACTTCCTGTACAAAAATGTCACAGTTTATTTGCAGTTTCAATTTGAACATGTTGAACATTTTCTATTAGAGTTTCTGCTCCCCTACTGCCTTTGCCACTTGGACCGGATCAGAACTGGGTGCATGAATGTGGTCAGTGGGTGACATGTCCACTCCGTCTTTTATTGTGTGCATCCTAACATTACAACTTCGCTGCTCACATCGCCATACTACCTATATGAAACTTCTCTCTACGGTATAAAGATACTCTTCATAGTGAAACATTTCTTTACCTTAATATGTCTTGAGGTATTGCAGTGCCATTAACATGACTCTAGATACACATGTGAATGCAAAATGACTCACAATGGCGTCAAGAATGATTGCAACCCACTGCCTCCCCATCCCTTTCCCAGCTGATATCCATGAGGAACACAGGGGCCCAATTATTTTCTACCCTTTGTTTGCCTTGCATTCACCTCTTTCACCTGAGCGACTATCTTTGCTTGCAACGAAAAAGTGCAACGACCAAATTGCATGCAACATTTTGTGTGCAATGAACTGTCAGCGACCATTTTGGCCATGACGAAAACGCTGGTAACCAGGAAACCTGCTAGGGAAATCATACAGTCCTAGTGTTCTGTTTTCCTTATAAATAAAAGAAACTCTTTTAGTCTGGTCAGAAAGAGTGGGTTGCTCTGGAAAGTTGCCACATTTTACTCCAAATTGACATCTACAGTTTGTGCACTTCTTAATGAACTTTCATGGGTTCATGGGATTGAACTGGCATTCAATTGGACCTTGGTCTCCTTTTTCTTGTTGCATAAGATTGTTCTATTTTGAGATTCAGATGTGACCTCTGACTCATGATACAAAGGAAGTTATAGCATAGATCAAGCTTCCAAAAGAACTTGGGTGTGCTTTGCAATTGAAATGGATGCTTAGGGACAGAGGTTGAAAAAATTATGTAACCTGGTAACCTGGTCATCAGTAAGAATGACAATCTATCGAGAAGGCAAGGCAGGGAGAAAAAATAGATTACTGAGGGGAGGAAAGTGAGGGGAAAAGAAGGAAATGATATGAAAAGGAAGAATGGGAAGTCAAAAGATGGTCAGCATTTGGGATGAGGGATGATAAGGGATTGAAAGAGGTAAATGACAACTGACTGCCAAAAGATCAAGCCCCCAAAAGGCACCAGGAGGACATTCCTGGTGGAGTGGGAAGATATCCAGTGTGACTGATGTTGATAGGTTCAGGGATGAAGATATAGATTTTTTATTCCCATGCTGAGTGCATAGGCAGAAAGATATCTGTATTGTGTAATTTTCCTCAATCCTGAGGTTGTAAGATCTTGCCCTTATGAGGAGGATAGAAGGTGAGAAGTGGGGACATCAACTAAATTTGCCTGACTGCAGCAGAGGCAGCCTTGTCCTTGGCATAAAAAAGGAACTATAATTTTGAATGCATATTTCATGAGGTGAGAGATACTGGTCACCAAATTAGACAGTGTCTTGCACCTCAGAAACCCTTTCCTTTGCTCTTTAATCAATCAGCAGGCAGTCAGCCTTGCATTACCTGGCTCCCTGCTGACAGATTAATTGTTCCCTTTGCATCTTTTTCAAGTGACCTTATTTGGCCCTAGGGTTGAAAGTATTCATTAATCTCCATTCCCCATTAGAATGCTGTCCAATTTCATCCCACTCTCTCGATTCCACACCTCACACATGTGGTCCTGTGTCAGACCTGGTACATAGTGGTTTGTGTGTCCTGTCTACTTGTATGCATAATTGAGAGAATATCTAGCGGAAAGTGCCCTTTTTGAACCCTTAAACCCTTTGACAAGTCAAAGAGCTGCTAGTTTGCTCTTGATCTCCATTTTGGAAGAAGTAGCTGACATTTTTATTGCAAAGAATGCAGAAAGCATACAAGTTGAAGTTAAATGCTTTTTCAGATGTTGTAGACCAACTGAATAGATGGAAGAATGCTTGAAGTATGAATTTGATCAAACTAATGTTCCAGTCCAGAAATGAAAATATTAATTTGAAGTGTTCCTATAATGAAAAACCTTTAAATACCCTTTCAAATGACATTTCTTCAATTTTAATGAATGCTAAGAGCTTCTGGAGGGCTTTGTCCCTCTGTACACCCTCCATTTGATCCTGCTATGGGCCTACACATATATGTTTTCATGTCTAGTGGTGACTTAAAATTGATCTTTTTCCAAGCACCACCTCCTCCCCTCCTCCCCTGTTGCTTCCCTCCCTTGTGCCTTTGCTCAGCCCCCCAAACACAGGGTCATTTCACACACCTTCTAAACTACAAGGGTAAACCATGGTTACCATGAAGCAGAACTTTTTCCACTTCTGCTTAGGGGAAATACTCTTACTCATAATATGGAGAGAAGGGGAAGGTTCTTATTCTCTCCAGTCACCTTCATTTCATTCTACCACTTTACATCCCCATTACTTTACCAATTACCTAAGTATTTTGTCCCACTTGAAGATCCCTTACCCCATGTCAATCACAGGTGATGCAGTTGACCAACACGAGCTCATATTGGTTGAAACAAGGAAATAACTGTGCTGACCTTGTAGCAGATGATGAAGACAGTAAATGAATTTGAAAATGTTATGCTGAACAATGGAAGACTTTGCAAGCTTGACTAAGTCATAAGGTGTGGAAAAGATATCAAAAGATTGACATTCCTGCGAGTTCAGGCAGAATGCAATCATTGCCAAGCAACAGTCCATGACTCAAGCTTACTCACCTATCTCCACCCTGAAAGAAAGCCTTTTGTCTCTCAAATCACTGGAAGACCAACACTTGGTCAAAGTTTGGGACGAATTAGCTTGAGATTTTGTCTTTCTTTTTTCCCACTTTAGTGGAGCAAATAGATGACTAGAGATACACTGATATGGGATTAGTTGATAATGACACCGATACCAATTCTAGTGTCTTGGTATCGGCCACTACTGATACCTCCTAGTGACTTGTCAGATGTGAAACTGCAATATGGGACCAGACCTATATTGCAGCTTTAGTAGGCCTTATGCTACATTTGGCATTGAAAGGAAGAAATAATAAGTCCTCAGAGACTCTAATGACCCAGTACTCAAAAGTTCTGCCACTTCTATTTGGCTCCAGAGACATTTACATCAGTCAATATATTAGCCTCTTGAGTATTGGCCAAAATTTCCCCTGCCAACCACCTGGACCTACCCCAAGAACTCATCAGATGTAGATACTATGTCAAAAGGAGAATGGGTGTAGAAAGGATTGGTTGTATGTACAATACCTTGTGTCCTTAACACTTTGACTGCCTTGTGATATGCTGGTGTGACACTATGCAAGTTTTGTACCCCGTCAAGGATAAAATAAAACCTTGTAATGTGACACACTGGCATGTCATGTGGTCCCATAAAAAAGAATTAGCAAATCTATCTTGGTGGTCAACATATCAATGGGTTAAGGAATTCATCAAGCAACTGCTACTGGGATTTGTGCTCTATGACAGACTTGAGGTAATGTATACCATTATGAGTGGGTTTTTTTTAATGTGACATTCCAAAATTTACAGGTTGCATATTACATATAGTGTGAGGCAGGAGAATTTGATTGAATTGGCTGATACTGATACTTTGGATCTAATTGGCCAATACTTTGGATCAGTATCAGTGCATCCCTATAGATGGCCATGATGTTCTGGGTTTGGGCACATAACCCTTTTAGATGTGTGTACTCTACCCAGAGAAGTATGTATACTGCATCCAGAAGAACATGCATGACATCCACACAACTATTCCCAAATACTGCTGAGAAATATAGGACTATAAATAATACTATAGTGGTCTAAAGTTTGCAAGGAGACATACTTGACATGGCTTATATAAATATTTACTGTTAGACTCAAGACCAATCTGGAGCTACATGGCATTATCAATTCACCATTAAAATCATGGATTTTTCCATATATATGTATTTCTATTCTCCTTGTGGTAAATCCTTTACTGCAGAGTTCCACTAAGGACACAGTTCATGAGAATACAAGTTGTTTTGGCATCCAAGTAGTTGAGATCTTAAAATTTGTATTAAAAAAATGTAAACAGAATGTTAAGACATTAATTTTTGTAATAATTGCTTTTATGAATGGGTGCAAGTGTTTGCCATTTGTAGTTATAAATTGATTTATCAGATATATATATATATATATATATATATATATATATATATATATAGTGTATTTGTATAAATATGTAATTAACATTAATAAATGTACATTCAAAACCAATCCTTTTATTATTCTTGCTAAAATTGTTGGAGGATAATTGAAATATGGTAGTATTGAGGAGTGAGTGAAGTGTTGTATGCTTGTATTAAGTAAATGATATCTTGGCTTTGTTTGATAGATTTTTCAACCAAAACTGATACTTTTGATCATGTATCTGAGAAATACCTAGGCAATAATATGTAAATGGGGCACTGAGTGCCTCTAATACTGAACCAAGAGAAAAATTGGTGGTGAGGGGTACCCTAAATAAATACATCACTTATTAATTTACTCTAAAAAGCACTACATCAAAAAAAAGAAATGATATATGATCCATGGTTTGGAGAGGGAAGCCTTGTATGTATGTATGCCAGACGAGCTTTTGTGTAACTTTGTTCAATGTTTCATGTAAATGTGAATAATTAGTGAATGTTTATGTTTTAAAAATGGAAATCGTTTACAGGGTGGATAGGAAAAGACTGAAAAGAAAAGCTGAATGAAAAAAAAGGAAGGTGAAGGGGTAGGCCTCCAGGAGTTGGAAATGAAAGGAAATGTGACCATATGAAGGGAATGACAATGGAAGTATCAATTCAATTAATTTTTTTTAACTATTTACACCGAAAATGTTTCTGACTATAGCCAAAAGGCAGTGAAATCATTTTCTCAGAGTGGCATTGTGGCATGTTTTTTTATTTTCATAGGTGGGACACCAGCAAGGAAAATCATTTGGATCACAAAAGTCCTTTGCAGTCATGGTCACCAGAACTACAGAACTTTATACCATTGTCACAAGATCCTTTCTCTTCTGGGGAGTGCGATGTAATGTTTGAAAAACCTGTGATAATTATGAAGCTAGATGCTCGTAAGTTGGGAAAGCTTTCTTTGAGCTGATGTGCTTTTGAGAGGTGCAGGCTTTGTCAATGTCGATTGGCTGCACTATTATGTTCCAGAGGTGAGCATGTATCATCATTTCTGTGATTTCTTCAACCTGTATGCCTCCCTGCATGTGAACAACAGTCATCCCAACACCTTCACTACTGATGTCCACATCATCCTGTGGGAGAGCTACCCCTACAGATCAAGCTTTGCACCTGCATGGAAGGCATTTACAAAGTATCCTGTGAAGACCATCAAAGATTATGAAGGAAATCGACTCTGCTTCCATAATATCATGTTGCCCCTTTTGCCCCGCATGATTTTTGGCCTCTACTACAACACACCCCTGGTCTGAACACATCATATCACACCTTGTTGCTTGGATTCCTCAAAGCAAATGCATCACTGGCATTTTGAGACCTAGCTCCCTTTTGTTTTCTCACCATATCTAGACTGGATGAACTCCTAAATCCTTTCCTCCCCAGTGATACTTCTAAGTATGAATGATGGAGAGGGCAGTTGTACTCCATTAGTTGAATATACCAGGGGTGTTGCAAAAGTTCTTATCCCAAGGCACTGGAAGGGACAGACCTTAGTTACACAAGGATCAGATGCAAGATTGCCCAGGGTGAGGAATTTTATCACTGTCCTTTTGATTTTTGAACACTTAGTAGACTTTTCTCTTTGCAAAATCTACAAAATTGTAAACCACCATGATATGTTGAAACATTGCCTGGCCATTTCCATAATTTCCAATGACCTGGGAAAAAGAAGCTGAAAATGCTTTGGGCTAAGAACTATTGCCACACCATTGTAACACATGACAGTACCAATGAGTACAATGTGTGTTTTCCATTTCCAGAGTCTTCTCACTGAGGTGAAACTGCAAAACTTTCCTAAAGTGTCAAAATTTTGGAAGGAAAGGGTTAAGCCTTAATTTTAGCATCATATTGTGCTTGCACATTTCATGTCCAAGTAAGTCTGTGACATTCCATGTATAATCAACATGCTTTTGAGTTCCTTTTCATTTGGCTACATCAAGTTTTCATTAAATTTGGTATTAGTTTAATATCATTATCAAGCATGCATAGTTTTAAAAAAATCAAAAAGAATTTTTCCCTCAATCGTCCAGTTCTTGAAGTATGGGGTCATGAAAAGTTTGCAAATTTAATGGCCACCCAATTTACCTCATTATTCCTTTAACTTCTATCCTAATTTAACTGGAGATATTTTACTGATTTAGCTGGTGAATTTATTGGTGTCTGAATCAAAGCCCTTTTTCTACACTCTTTTTCTACACTCTTCAGAGATACCATATGGGAAAATGGATTTTAAAATACCAGCCTGTGACACCTGCCCTCAAACCAAGTTTTGGTAAAAAAAAAACAAAAACAAAATCTTGCTTTATTATTCTACATCAAATGCCACTATTTACAGTGGGGGGTGGGAGGGGGTTGTGTGGTACTCAAGTTCTCTCAACCTTGAGTTTGGCACCAAAGCTGCATCCTGCCTCATGAAAAAAGAGCACACACTGAAATTGTCACTGGCAGGTGTTTAAATATTCACTTACACATATATAGCAGAACTACATCTTCTGGCATTTCAGTGATTTTGACTCTGTTGGTTTAGTGGCAGTATTATAACTGGTATTCCAGAAGTATTCCTGGGATGTCAAGAATTGTTGGAAATATTGAGAATTTCATCCCAGAGGATGTAGGAGACTGTGCCAATGGTATGCTTGAGTTTAATGGTTTGTGAGAACCTATTGATATAGTTTGAGCTATACATGACATGACCTTCATAATGGTATTCTTTGGTTATTATTCTGTAAAAATCTTGATGATGCATTCCTATGGAGGACAGCTATCATTCCTTACATGGAATGGTATGTTATAAGGGAGAAGCAAATGTAACATTTTGTATTTACAAAAGATATGTCTCAGAATCATAACCCTTCAGTGCAAGTGAGTGGCTCAGTTGGCAACAAGCATGGCTCCCATGGAAAAGGACCCAGGTTCAAAACTAATAGAGTCAAGTGTTATTTTTAGGTGAAACCCCTGAGGTGCATGGAAAGAGAGACTCTTGAACACATAGCACTCCTGTCTCTAGATATGAGATGTGTAAGAATCCTAGTGCATAGTGCATGTGTACCAACCTGGGTAGCAAAGCCCCAGAGTATCTATCCACTCAGGCTAAATTGAGTATCCCAGGTTATAGGTCACTTGAAATGAAATTACATGGGGGAAGGGTTTACTGGTGTACAGAGTCAGGATACATTCATGGGCCTTCAGCTTCTTACATCTGGTAGCTTAACATATTGTATTGTGTAATGCCATGTTTAAAAATTCAATGCACATTCAATGTTATTGGCTATCGAGTAGGAGAATGGTCAAAGCGTTTTAAACACCACTTTATTTTGAAAACTCACCCCACAAAGGGTGTTAAAAAATGAGATGGTCGTTAAGAGCAGGTGTTTGAATTCTGAACATTCTTTTTTTCTTTCTCAAAGTATCTTCCTTGGGATGGAAAGCAGGAATCCCATCTTTTCACTCAATTAAGAAACACATGATCAAGCCCATTCTTTGAAAGCTGTTTCAGCTGCATCTCAATAGCCTTCAAGACTTGCTTTCTGTCCCAAAAATGCATTCCTCTGAAGTCAGATTTGAGGTTATGGTCCAGCCAAAACTCTTTTGAAGTGAGATGAGGGCTGTATAGTGGATGGAGAACAGTATGAATGCCATTATTGTCCAGCTAGTCTCTGACAACACCAGATATGTAGCAAGATGCATTGTCATGATGGAGGACCCATCTTCACCCTTCATAGTTCTGGTCATTTTTTGCATATGTGCAACTTTTGCAAGTGGACTCAACCAGCATGGTATCATTGGAAAATGTTAATATGGAGCTATGATATATGTCATAAATTAATCTTCTTTCTCAATTAAAACATAATTTATAAGAAGAATGAGATACAAGGGTGTTGCTAGGTTGCCAAACAGGCAATATTTTCATGACCACACATCCTGAAAACCATGTGACTAAAGATTAAGGTCTCAGGTTCTCAATGGTACAGAGCATTTAAATCACCCAATTTAAATCAAAATTACAGAAAGCCATGTTTTATGTGTGCTTGTTGACCTGGCATGTAAGTGCCCTTTGGAATAGATTTGATTTTCTGGTAATGTTAGATATGAAGAACAATTTAATTTAGTTATCATAATTTTTTAGATAAAGTTATTAGAAACTCAGTATCATTCCATAGTAGACTTGGGCCTGCATGCGAAAGATGTAGGTCTAACTATCTTAGTACATAGGTAGTCCATATGCTCTATTATTCTGCTCTCCATATCTCATTTTCCAGAGCCTAATATTGGTATTCATACTCAGAGACAGAACTAAGTAGCTTCTTATGTTGATAAATACTATGGTATATAGCAATATGCTTAGTTATCTTTGTACCAGCCATACATATGTGAATGTGTGAAAGTGAAAAATTTACTTCATTACATCCTCAAAATGCCAGTGAAGGAGAGAGAAAAAAGTTTCCCTTAATATACTTTTTTGGACACTTCTCTCAGGTATATGGTTGCCAGAGGAGTGGCCTGTTCCATGCTTTCAATCGCTTCATGCTGCATCGGTTAGGTGTGCCACTTCGCAAACACTTCGACCCAAGCAACATTCATGTTGTCCTATTGTCTCGGAAGACCAAGCACCGCAACATCATCAACGAGGATGAGTTACTGGATGCTTTGAAGCTAGAAGAAGGAATAACTGTAACTCGGGTAAGAGAAAGAGTGACTGTGAAGGGGATGAGGCATTTGGTATTATATTTCAGTCTTTGCAAACCTTTTTGCCCCAGGAAGTACAGAGTGTATGAGGCAGCACTCTCTTTTGCTTTACTTCTTGAGTGATTAATACAAAATATTTGTGAAGAGTTGAGTTCTTGTCCGTCCAATGTAAATGAAGAAGTCAGTGGTAAACTAAGAAATTCGTGGTTTGAGAACTGAAGTCCTGAACAAAACCTTTTCTGCACAAAATTTTCATTTCTTTGGTGATTTATAATGCAAAAATTGGTAACATCTACATAGACCAGACAACATAGCCCACAAAGGACATTTAATTGCAGTATAAGCATGTAGATAAGCTACTTTCTGGATGAATAAGTTTCTTCTCCCAAAGGAAGGAGGATGATTCCTTGTTCCACTGCTGGTCAGAAAGAGAAAAAGACTCAAGATGCATATTTTATGTTCATTTTCTTATCATGGGTACAATACTCCTCTTGCCTGTGCATGTTTTAGCCAACTTGTGTAGAGAGCAGGAGTTTACCTACATGTTGTCCTGAATTCCCACATCATAGCAGCAAAGAAGTCCCAAAAAAAATCTTGCAAAACTTTCATGTGATACATTAACTGGAAAGAAGTATAAGTTCAAACTGGTAAATCTTGTGAATAACAGAACAGATGAACAAGACTTAGCAATTATCTTCAAATACTGTTATTGGAATTTTATTGAGTATAAAAATGAAGTTGATAAACATTATTTCTCTGAAGCCTTAAGGCTCGTAAAAGCTTCATATTTCGCAATGCTAACAATACTATAATGGTATTTTAAAATTCTAGTGTGATTTCTCCTGCACATTAAAAGCAAAATGAGGTGACACACTGTCCTGTAAGAATCTTTTGATTAATGTTGTCCTCAATGTCTGAAGTAGTCAAGGTTGAGATTTAATTTTTTTTAATAGAGGCAAGGTGGAAATGATGGCAATGTGAAATTTGAAACTTTTTTGCAAATGTTATTGTAATGATAATGTAAAATGTAATGATATCTGAATGAAAGTTGGAAGATTGGTTCCACCTTTTGGATGGATGGGTGAATGGAAAAAAACTCTTGGCATGCCTGAAAATGTTTTCAGAAACCAAAAGCTCAACAAAGAAATTAGGCATTGGTAGGTTTAGTACAATAGCCAGAGATACAAGTTTAATTTAAATGCATTCATCAGTTGAGGTAGAACCATCGACAAGACTGATGTGTTGGTAAGGTTTTGCTACTTCAAATATTTTCTGAAACTACAGAAAGTTACTTCACAAAACTTCATGGGGTATCCAGACCCCATGGGTTTCCCCCCCGACTATGTCTTTTTAAGGTATTGAGCCTGGTGTGATTAGAAAGTCACGTGAAGGGTATTTGGCACTCCAGCATGAAGGAAAGTATTATGCAATATGCAAAATAAAACTCATGCCTGTCAGAGGGTACTGCAGATGTGACATCATTGTATACATAGCAGGTACTGCAATGCATGTACAAGGTGGCTGTGAAGCAATGAGCTTGCCTTGTCACTTCTCCTTTGAATCCATTTGAATAGTAACATTATTAAAGTATTGTTCTCTGCTTATAGATTTATTAAGAACTAATTGTTAATTATTTTTTTTGCAGTCCATCTTAAGCTGCACTGCTGTGAATACAAATGACATCACATCAGCAGAATCCTCTTTGAAGCTTTTTTTTTTCTTCTGTGTCATGTTTTCTTTTATTGTGAAACTATCACCCTAGTTTCACTGATCTACAGTAAATAGTTTTCATGCTAGAATGCTGCACACCTTTTAGGTTACTTCATATCACTCTACATGAGAAAGTTATAACTTTCTCACCTTTCTTCTCCATTTCCAAGGGTATGCTTTCATAATCCACCTTGTATAATAATGGCTGTGGTATCCATGTTTTTACTTAATTTCAGGTGGAGTATAGCTGGCATACAGATTTTCTATGGCAAGTGAAGACAACTCATACTGCAGATGTTTTCATTGGCATCCATGGTAGTGGGTTGACACATCTCCTTTTCCTTCCTGATTGGGCTGTCATTTTTGAATTGTAAGATTAATTTTTTAATTATCATTCTGCAATAATAGAAAAGCCCATATTTATACATTGTCTTGTTTCTTGTTTAAGATACAATTGTGAAGATGAGGGGTGCTACAAGGATTTGGCTCGCCTTCGTGGTGTGGAATACATCACCTGGGAAGATCCTTCTAAAGTTTTCCCCAATGACAAGGTTTCTTGATTACTCCATTCTTGCAGCTCATAATGAAGCAAAACTGTTAAAGTTTTGGGATTAAAGGATTCTCTTTTGGTTTCCTTTGCAGGACCGACACCCTGAAGTTGCAGCTCATGCAAAATTCACTAATTATGCATTTGAAGTTAAAGAATTTCTTAGGCTTGTGCATAAAGCCATTGCCATGGTGAAGGCCTCAGCCAACCATGACAAACCTATGCACAATGAACTTTGAATCTATGTGATATTGCCTGGTTCATGATTCTATCTGATGCAAAATTTGTATCTATTTTGTTGAAGTGTCCACCCATGTTTTGAGTTGAGTTTGATGTGGTTGGTACTTAGCTTTATTTTTCATCCCATCATTGTGATGAATGGATAAATTTGCCTGTGTTTTAACTATTATGAAAAGCCTTTCTGAACCCAGAGCACAAAAATCTGTGAAGCATTTGCATTAACTGGATGGCATCCATGTAAACCATACTAGAAGTTTCCCTGGAATGAGTAACTAGACTGGGATGAAGGTTCAAAATGTTATAAATACATGGACAGGATGTCCAAGATGATGCCATGACATGGCTAACAGATGTCTGCCAGGTTTTGTGAAAATCCATTGAATGCAATGGGCATTGTGGTTTTCAATGTTGACTACTGTCGTTTTCATTAATGGGCATGTGGCCTTTCTTTTCTATTCTTCATCTTAATCATGTTCCACAATCATTGGGATAGTCTATGTAGAAATCAGGACTGGTATCTATGATTCAGTTTTCCTGTTATTTCAGTTCTTAAATCCTCTACACACATTGATTTAAATTTGTTTAATTTAATCTCAATTGCCATATCTCCTTGTGTATCCTGAAATTGTAATTGGAAAGTGCTTGTATCACCTTGCTACTTCATTTTGTTCCTGCCCAATTGGTCTAACTTCATGCCTTTACATGGGATATTGTTCCATGAGGTTGCCTTCCTGAATCTGAGTTAATTAAAGCTTATCTAGGTTCTTGGAAGTTTTTGTGATCTACTAAAATACCAAACAGATCTTTTGAGATGTATTTGTAATAAAACAATCATGATTAGTGTTCTGGCTTCTTTCTGGTATGTAGGCTTCTGACCAATCATTTGTTAAAACAAATTTTATCATACACATGCATATTTATTGACATAAATAAAAAAGGGATAGTAAAAAAAAATTGCACATCAAGTAACATGCCAGGCACCAGTACCTGCATGGAAAATACAGCACAAATAGGGATGCTTACAAATTTGATTTTCAGAGTGAGTCAGAGCATACCAAAATCTTAACAGTTTCAATGTATCTGGGTAAATGTACACGCATGAAATGATGAGAATATACAAACATGACTAGAACCACTTTGAGTTTGAACCACTTAAGATTTTAGGTCATATGAAGACAGACCAAATCACCCATCCTTGATAATTTTAAAGTAGAATAGGATGTGACATTGGAGAAAGTGGGATCCCAATTGCATAATTCTGTGATTGTTTTCTCACAGACCATTTCTTCATTGTCAATTCATTCACAATATATCTTCTTCACAATGATTCTGCCTTATTTTTTACATCAAAACTACTTAGAGAGCTCTGTATTGGATGGAAGCTGATGAACTGAAGTCGCCAGTCTCATATAATGTTAAATACTTAATGGAGGCACAGGTAGACATGGACAGTTTCATCTTTAGGCCATTCTGTAACTTTTGACCGCCAGAAAGGCGCTGCAGAGGTACAGCCCAGCGTTGATGAGCCCAAGGATCTGAAACGGAAAACCGGTCACGTATCAAACACAGAGAGACGATTAACCACAACTGTATGTTTCGGTGATTATGAAGAAATTGAAGGTTGACAGTATTTATCCATTTGATGATTGCATACCAAATCAAGGGAATAAAGTCTACTCACCCCAGCAAATATTCTGGAACTGTATCCTTGTTCGTAATGCTTGGTACCAACATTTCTGTTAGTGATCTCTTTAAGCAATATGGCTGATGAAAACAAGAGAAGAAAAGAATGGATGCCATGCAGGAATGAGACCTGCGAGAGAAAAGGTGTTTGTCCAACTACAAGGGCTTACTCCCCCTCCGGAGACCTCGCAAAGTTCTCTCAGAACCCTGATGCAATCCCCATACAATGCTGCCTGATTATACGGAAAGTTACAGGAGAGAACTTCCGGGTTCCCAAGGAGGTGCTACTGCTACTATAGCCTAGTACCTACAGTTGGAAGCGGTCAACATTCCCCTTCAGTGATTATTTTTAGACTGGGGATTGCAGAAATGGAATGGAAGGGGAATGTGGACTGCAGAACCGAGAAAAACTCACTGCAGTTGCCAGGTATGCATCCAGCTTCTCACTTCTACTGTATTTCCGCATTTCGCTCACTTCCACCAGCAGAGTAATGGCGCAGGCCAAGTAGAGACCCGTCGCAATAAAGTGATAAACTACCTCCTAGAAACAAGCGCATACATGGGCATTTCTCACCGTGAGCACACCACAAGGCAGCGACTTCCAAGCCATCGGTAGAGATGCTCTCCCCTTACGCCCAAAGGGAGGGAGGGGGGGGGGGGGGGGGGGTTCGTAGACATTGGGAGAGATATGCATTAGATCGAGTATACTCGAGCTAATGTTTTCATCATGGTTCAATGATGCAGCTAAATCAGTTCCTCTTGGAACAGGTTCATCTGAACCTATTCTATTCTCATTCGCATAATACCCATTACGGAATCAGAAGTTTACAAGGCTAAATGGTGTGGCACGTGTCATCCCCAAAATTTCGGAACCGATGCCTTGAGGTGTAGTCAGCCAAGATCGTAGCGTAATATCTCTGACAAATCAGGACAGATAAACCGCCACTTACGAAGATAGTCTTGGGGAGGATGGCGGCAGTGGCGACAGATAGGAGGCAGGAAAGAAAGAGGCAGAAAGTAGCTATCATGCATGCTGTGGCAATGAGTAGGAAGAACAGCTCTGGGACGGCCAATCCCGCATAGTCACGACCGTATCTGTCCACGTAGTAACCAATAATCCCCACACACACGGCTCCGATGATCTGCAAACCAGACGCTATTGTATGTACGGATACGGATAAAACGCCTTACTGTCCACGTGCAAATACGGGTTCATTATTTTTCTCAACGAAAGTGAACAAAAGAATTACTGCAATCATTCGGGAGCACACTTATTTGATATCGCTTCGAGTTTCGAGGAATTTTTTCGGGGGGCCTGTTTGATTTGCTCTACAGACTAAGATCGACGCGACAGGATATTACTCAGTCTGTAAATGATGAAAAGCCTCTCGCATTTATCCTTCATTTGATCGTAGAAACAACAAAGCGCAGCGATGGCAGCCAGAATGAGTTCATATCTCATCCCTCCGTCTCACCAATTCCAAGAATTTGAGAAGGCCAGGGATTGTCTTGACATAGCCGGTGTTAAGGATAATGGCCGACGTAGTCGAGGTTGTGGTCCGAGTAACAGTCACCGTGTGGGACATCTGCAAAAAAAAAAACACGGGAAAGCTTATTCCACGATCAAGCGTTCACTGCATCTCCAGTCGCTCATGAGACCCTTTCACGGACACGACATCCCCCCCCTCCCCCCAAAATGTGGTACGGTCGGAAGGGAAGAAAGAGGGAAAAAATTGGTGACGCTGCACCAGGTGCTTCTATGTACGCAATGTGGACTGGACACACCGCCCACGATTTGAATACCAGAGGGATGACGAGCTTTGCCTCCGACGCTGACGCTGAGTCAGACTGACGCTTGCCCACGTGCCTTCTTTCCACCATCTTTGGCATGGTTACTCAAGCCCCTTCTCCGATTAACATTAACCTGAATATTTTCTCATTCCTTCATGCTTTCTCTTCGGTTTGTTCTCCTCTCTCCTCGACTGATCTCAACATGGCCACGTCCGAGCTCATCGGCCTTAGAAAAAGTAAATCTTAACGATGTTGTTTGTTAGCCACTCGAGTTTGAGGCCGTCCGCCTCACGTCGGTGCGACCGACGGTCAGCGGAACCAACGCAAGCCTCCTTTCGTTCCCAGGAAATACAAACGGGAACGTACCTTATACATTTCCAGAAAGTTTCCTGCGGGAAGGAAGCAAACAGAGCAACAGGTGAGATGGAAGGGATCCTTGCAGTACACTAGGACAGGTGCACGGGTCTAGCAGCGCTTTCTTTTTCAACTCTATTTAGGTCAGGGATACTTGGAGGCCCAATGGCCTTCTTCGATGAGCCTAGCAGGCTCCTCTTCGACCAGGCGATAGAAGTACCGACCCCACGTCTAAAATCGCGTGACATTTGAAAGTCTTCCATGGCCTTTTTGGATGCGATGAAAAGAAGTGAGCCCATCTGACTTGAATGTGCTGACGTGAATTCGTAGAAGCAACGAGCTCACGTGCACATCAGGTATGGCATATGCTTAGGCCTTCCAATGAATAAAGGAATAGGAAATCTCGCGTCCACACCAGGCAAGGCCAGGTGCCCACTATCACGAGGAACCTTTCAAAATCTACCTCACGAGCTTCTATTTTGCTTGAGGAACTGCAGACTTCGGCCCTTGCATCGACTATTACCTTCTACCATTAAAATAATGGGTCAGGCGAGCAGACGTGGGATCGATGCCGTGCCGTGTAGATGCAATGAAGATGAGGAATCCTCGGTGAGATTACGTCTATAGGGCTTAGATTTTCGAAACCCTCGCCTCTTCACGCCTCAGTGGCAACCCCAATGATAAATCTATGGTGTGCATCGACGAAGATAAGACGGGGAAAATCAAGTCGAACACTCACCTTTCGGCTTTATCTGGTGTTTGCCTTTCAACGGGAAGGAACTTGTGAGAACCGAGGCGAGACTCCCACTTGGGCAGAGATTCTAGTAATACATCTCACGTAAAGGAGAGCAGGGGTGCCACCCACCCAAGCCTTGGTGCACAGTTCTCCAGTTTCCTGGCAAGATTCACCTCCGTCCTATTTTGAGCGCGAGTTTAAGGGCTGAGAGAAGAGGTTGGGGCTAGGAAGAGGAGGAATATATGGGGAATCCAGTTGGGAAAGAACGAGGGAAGCGAATGCTCATTGCACTTTGCACGTCGGTGTCACTGCGCAGCGCCCCATCCTCGCTTCCCAGATAAGGATATTTCCGTTGGATAGCATATCCCGGACTCTCTGGCGCCGAACTAAGTCCAACCGCACTGGCCTGTGTGAAGATAGGAGTAATGGAAAACCCTTGAATCTCCCCCATTACGACGAATATTGCTCCAACAGTAGGGTCTCCTGAATCTTCCTTGTAGCGATTTTTCGCTTCAACCTGAGCAAGGAAGCGGGTTCCAATGCTTACTTTACTCCAACATCATTTCTCGTTGAAGAGCGAGGAACAGAGCAAGAGAGAGACACGGGAAGGAGTAGGACAGGGTTCTCTGACGAGAAGGCAGCATGGGTCTGGAGTGCCATATGTCTTTCCGTGCTGATTCTTAATGTTGGCAGACTAACAAGGGTTGATGTCAATTACCACATGAGAATTGACGAGTGTCCTGACAGCCAAGACTCACTTTTCGTTCTTCAAAAGGCCTTTTTGTCGGTGCCCTTGTGGCGAAAGCTGATAATTGGCGTTTTTCATTCCGGCGGATGAAGGAGGGAGGGATCCAGCGCGAGCGTTGTTATCCAGTCCCAACGCCACATGCCCATAAAAGGCAGTCGTGAGAGAGGGAAAGATTGGACACACTCACGCATTCAATCGCAACTCAGTCGTGTGTTACTCGGGTCTTTATTTCATTTCCATCAATACAGCACATTTTCTCGCTGTCACATAGCTGTGTTGCATGGGAAACAGAAACAATTAATGGGGTCCCATTCAGCTAGAAAATACGAATCAAATGACTTAATAATATAGATCCAACATCAATTAATAATAATTAATCTGAAATCGTACAAAAAATATTACAAAAGGGTCACCATCGATAGAATCTTTTAATAGATCGCCGTGCGCATCTCCAAGGTGAGAGAGAAAACAATGCATGCTCATTCAATACTAGTGCATCGGGGGAGATCTCACAAGATGAACTCTCGTTCATGGAAGAGATGACAATTTCACTGGTACATGCATCTCAGAAAAGTTCCACAGCAAGCCCGACACAAATTGATTTTGGCACTTTTAAAAATGTTGCACGAAGACAGAGATGGGTCCATGCTACGAGAAAGCAAAACAATAAACGAATAACAATCCCATCTTCACAACGCGACAGTCAAGATTTCTGTTCATGGAGAGATGACGTTAGTGATCCTCCTAGGATATAAACTGCTGCACACATGCATCCATACGGGGCAGAAAAAAAGGAGAGAAGGCAATATTCATGGAGGAATTGCATTGAACCTGAGGATTGGACACAAAAATAGGGAAAATCTAGAATGAATAACACTCCAATCGTGAAGAGTTATCCAAAGAATAGGGGAGGGAGTTGGGATAAAGATAGGAACATCTTTGTGGGTCAGAGAGGAAATGATGATGATGACGATAGCCGGAGGGAAGGCAATCATTAAGATCTTGGGAAGCCAGAGGCAGTGATATAAGCGTATTCCCACTACAAGCCACTAGGTGGCCACCGGGCACGCCATTATTTTTCTTCATCGATTCCTTTCCTATATGGAAAAGGTATCACAGAGTCAAAGAAAGAATGAGAGAGAGATAGAACACTTCTCTTCTTCTTCGTCATCGTTATTCATCGTCCACGGTAGTATGAAAAGACCTAAAAAGGTAGGCACTAATCCTGTTTTCAGGCGATCACAGCAGGCACGCCACGCCATTCCTTATACAAGAGGTACGCTCCGGCTCCATACAGGAAAGTATTTACGATCCCGAACACCTGGAAAAGAATTATAGGAGTTCCCGTTGAAGTCAAGCCAAAACTCTCACCCCCATGCATTGAAGGCTTAATGTCGCCATTATGTTTTCTATTTTTTGACTAACTCTCCCGGGGTAGCTTTCCATGCTGGGACCCAAAAACCAAACAAGGAATCACTTTGAAACGACGGAGAAAGCACGGAGAACGTAAACCTTCAACCGCACCCACGGAGTAAAATCATTCAATTAATCCAAATTCCGACTCTCAGGGCAGAGAATCCCCTTCACCGAGCTGGGAGTGGAATGAATGCAGCATGCATTTATTGCATCGCGTTCTTGGGAAGCCCAGGGCCGGAGACCTCACTTCAGATCAGATCATCTACGAGGCCACAATGGGAGAGGGTGAGGGAAACGTCGTGTCGTGGAGATGTAACAGGGAGGGGAGGAAACAGGAGGAATGGCAGTGTCTGTAATACAGGGTGACTCCTTGAAAAACTTCCAACGATGAATGACATTTTCCTGCTAAACGTACCGAACGAAACGAGCTGCAAGTTAGGGGCTGGAGTTTAGGTAATGTGCGTTACTTGAATCGGTGATGAAAGCTGTGGAGATTGGAGTTGCCATTGTGGCTTCATATGCACATGACCCACCACGCGCACGTGACCTACCCATGGTATAAAATGGAAGCAGTGCAACGGGAGTGACCAATATGTCACCCGATCCTTGTCTCCGGACAAGGATCGGGTCACATCACGAGAACGTGAAGAATACTAAGGCGGTACAGGAGACCTAACGCCGGGCAACGAGCGTCTGGCGCGGCCCGTGCCCCACGGAAGCACTTCGACTCTTGGTGCGTCGCTTGGGGCCCTCCCTCTTCCGCCTGGTGTCGTCACCGATCCGAGTAGTGCGTCTTACCGATGCCTCAGCCCATAAGATACTGCTCGTTCCGTGCGCTATGCTTCGCAGGGGAACACCATTTTTCGCTCGAGTTTTTTAACGAGTCCGCCAGTATACGATACGCCGCCCATCATCGATGCGAGAATATGCGGGAAGGGAATCGACGAGCGGGAATGATGTCTGCGTCGTTAACGTGGAAGGAAATCGACGAGAGGGAATGCTATCTGCGTCGTTAACAGATGATGTTAATTCCCCCGAAGCCGACGGATGGAGCGATTGCTGTAGTTAAACGCATTACTCACCCCCGCGACGATGTACCTCCCAGAGGGCACGACGATCATATATTGTAGGTCTGATGTAAAATGTTCAATGTGGTCGGCCTGATGATCAGGTGACGAGGAACTCACCCCAGCTGCGATGTACTTCCCGTGAGGGTTAGATGCCAAGAGAACGATGAAGGCGACGATGTACAACACTGTGAAGATGGCAGTGAACAGGAGCTCCTATTGGGGGGGAGAGATGGGAAAAGGTATAATAAAGCCAGGGAAGTTATGAGGAAACGGAATCAACCCCAATAGAAGGAACTCACAGAGAGTGTCCAATTGATGGGCAGATTGATGGCATTTTTCAAGGACAACAGGTAGACGAAGCTCCAAAGAAGCGTGCCGACGAAAGCCGAAACGGCGACGAAGAGGAACCAATGGTACGGACTCCACCATGCCGGTGACCCGCATGCCATGCAAATGATCCCCACAACCTCGACGCAAAGTGACAATCGGAAAATTCAAACAACATGATTAATGCTTTTTTTTTGTTTCTGCGCGTGTACACCTTCACTCAGCCGGTGTATAGTGAGGATACTGTCGCGGAAAAGAAGGGAAGTTGGAGGAATGCCAGTTCACGTGGATCCCTTCGTGCATTAATTCCCAAGAAAACCACCATGAAGACTGTCCGACAAATAAATCCGCAAAAACTGCAAGACCCCGAATACGCCATCTGCGACTTCGAGGTGTAGACATGGAAATCACAGTTCTAATTTTAATGGTGGGACGGGGGGTCTCGTGCTGACTATTTACTGGACAAGCTACGCAGATTCATGGCTCCTGTCGGTATTCCATATCTGGAAAAGGGTCACGGATCCTGTTCATCAGGCAACGCATGGAATAATGATGAGCCGTCGGCTTCTCTGCGGGTCTACCTTTTCCACCAACGGTAAAAGAAAAAAGTAGGAAGTAGCAGTAGAACGGTTCCTCTGGAAGCAGAACACGTTATGGAAGGACCAGAGCACGAGAGAACAGCATGTAAATGGGAATACAGTATGTAGGTCGAGCGAGCCAGATGCATGCCACAGGTGCCCTCTCAACGACGTGGCCAGAATACACCCACCAGACGCTCCGGTTTCATCCATTTAAAAATGGCGTACGAATGCATGCGCGAGAACGCTAATTTCTTCACGTGAGATCTTTTGGAAAGAAACCCGAGTCTCGTAACACGGTGTTTTTTCAAGATACCGTCACGGTGTACGGTTCCACGTGACGGGAAAAGGCCTATCTCCACTCCTCATCTACACCAAGAGAAAGGAAGTTCCTGTCGAGGGTGGGGCACACACCAATCTTGACATTCGCTATTATGAAGGCAAACTTTCAAGCACAGCTGAATCTACACAACTCTCATTCTCGTGAGATAAGTCATGCTTCCTGTCGGCACAAACAGGTCGACTCACGAAACGGTTTTAGCGATTACATCCGTGTCACTGGAGGTCGGGAATATGAATGATTCTCCGTAACAGCCGATGGCTGCTTTGGATTTTACGCCGTCGTTCTGAACATTTCCTGCAAGTGCACTGAAGAACGGCCAATTACGACCAAGCAATTAAAGCTTTTTTTTTAATATAAGCACGGCAATAACAATACCGAGCTGACGTTACTCACTAATTGAACGAGCTTGAGGATGCCGGCAGGGGTTTTCACGAAATAGGAAAGGTTCAATTGTATGCTGTCCGAGGCAGAAGGAGATCCTGTCGCAGGTTTCGCTGGTTTATCCGCGGATTCAGACATCATTATCTCGTGGTGAAATCTGGACCAAAGGATAAAGGTATCATTCACGAGGAAGTAGGCACAGGTGCAAGCAGCTCGCTAAGAAGCGGGCACGCACTTCCAACAGCTTCGACTGGCCCCGTCCCCGGCACTGATCTCCCACTCGCTCGCTCACTTACGCGCTCACTCACGTAACCGGTTTCAGTCGGGAAGCGCCCCACTCGACTCCACTAGCCTCGATCCGAAGTCCCAAGCAATAGACAGATGGAGACAGGGAGAAGAGTGAGAGGTGGAGCGGGGCGTATGCAGGCGGAGGGCAGGGCCGATTACGACGACGCACACACATGCACTCACACCGACACAGGCCCACTATCACATTCGCCTAGTGCCTCCAGCTCCACTCCACATATGCCCGCGGTTGAGAACGAGAACCATCTCGTTTCTCATTACTGGCATTACACAACTACAAACGCAACTCCAAGAGTGCGCGTCAGTCGCTTCGTAGGTGTTAATTCTTTCCCCCATCGTACAGCAGGACGAATTTTCAATAGCGATCAAAACTGGTATGGAACAGCGACGCATCTAGGATATTCAAATGGAGTTCGGGGATTAACCACCGAGTTGGTTGAGCGGAGACTATGGAAAGGGGTGACCCTGATCACAATGGTGGGAGAGTTTGACTACCCCTCCCTACTGATACGCACTTCAACCAATCAATTCATTTGCCTTGATTCGGTCTGTTAATGTCCTCTTTGAGTGAAACACGGACGGGAAAGTGAGAACAAATTTTTTTGAAAGCGTGGAAGGTGGTCTAGTAAGGGAGTGATAAGATCCGCTTTGCATGAAAGGGGAGGAGAAGTCGTTTTTCGTACCTCGCACCATGAAACTACTTCTGAACTTCTCCATTCGGATTTTTGGCAGCGCGGCCATCATCCTAGTTTGTGGTCCAGATTTTCGAGAGATTGATACCGCGAAACTGTTGAGTGGGTGGTTTTTGTCGAGGGAGAGATGAGATAACATATTTTTCTCGGTTACACGGCATATTTCCAAGATGCGTTTTTATATAGCCTCCAAATTTCGTCCAGAAATGTGTGCCAATCTCCAGAGAAGTCTTTCGAGAAGTCTTACGTCGCTTTTTGCCAGGAAATTACTGTATACCGGGAGAGCGTACAGAAGAACGGGGGCGATACAGCAATCCACAAAGACAGTGACCGGCTCTCTGTTGATGTGAATGGATCTCAAGAGATTCAGTGCAGAGAAGGAGCGACCATAGCATTTTTTGTAGTGCTTGAGACTGGTCGTGGAAGTTTAGCTCATCATTGATGATAATGCCTACAGGGTGACTCAAAAGTCCTTGGACACCTTTAATCAAGTGTTGCATTCTCTGATGAAGACCAATTTAATTTCTGATTTGACCAGTGCAAAGATCACAAAAAACTAAACCAACCATGTTTTTATGTTGAAAAAATATCACCATTTGAGGCAATAACCTGCTTCAGACGTTTTGGGAAATCATTTACGGTTCT